AGAAATTTGTATAGGTAACTACTTATAATCTTATTCATTAATAGTACCTATAGTAGGAGAAAAAGAATTAACAATGATTAAGTTTAAATTGATTGATCACAGAGTAGTGAGTAATGTCATGTTTGCCTAGTCTTTAGTGTGCTGATTGAAAACTATCGATCAAATTACAATGCGGTCACTAGTCTAAGTTACTTAACGTCGTATTATGTTGAGATTTTATTTCGGTTGAGGTAGTCAACAGTTAGTGAATTAACACTCGTCAGTAGCGAATACCAGTAATATTAAAGGAGTCGATGATCACCAGTGGATTCAACCTTGTTTCATGTAGTTTACCAAACTAAGACGTTAACTTTGAATTATTTTGATTATCTTTGTTGACAAAATATGTCAATATAAATGAATAAGTCAAATATTGTCAAACTAAACAATCTGCCTAAAGATCATCTGAGACAATTGATCAGTCATTTGTATGGAAATAATTACTTTTAAGATGAATTTCTAAACTTTGAGAGGATTACCCATGACCACTTATATAATGCCACGGTGTTTATGACAGTGAGACAGTCGCTCTTAACAATAGAATTTCTTGAAAATTGCTTCACTCTATTTTGAATCATTTGACTTTTTAGAAAAGTATGTCAACAGTTTTATACTGATTTTATTATGTTACTCACACAGACTTATAATTATCATGTACTCATTAGTGACTAGCTTCAAGATGGAACTCCTAGAGTTCTAGTGAGAAGCCATGACCAGTGGAGTTCAATCCGTCTCGGGTGTGAGATGTTTATTCACCTCAGACAATGAATGAAGAGTTGTGCAACATCATAAATTGGTAGATGTTGGACATCAACACCGTAAGGTGCCGTCTCAGCGCGCGAGATTAAAGGTCTTGTGTTCTTGATATGATGGGAAGAAAAATCAATATTTGATTGATTTACTTAATATGAGTTTTATTCATTATTACATTCTGTTTGATTCAATGTAATGATTACGCAATGTAATATTTCTTTTCTTTTCTCGTATGATATTTATTCTGTATAATATACAATATTCTTGTATTCCATTGACTATGAACTATACTCAGCATTTGTTATAACTGTGAGTATTTTTCATGTATGTGATTTTATTCTAGTTATTAATCAAAACGGGTGTACAATCAATATATAAACGACTTCGCTCTTTTCTCTGGTTGTTGCAGAATACACTTCTCATTTCAAGCCTGAACTTCTCCCTCTTGATAGCGGGGCTGGGGCGCAGCAATAGCTAGCTCACTGGTCGTTGGTCACCGAATCCTCGATCTCGTTCTCAAACTACGTAAACCCGTGATAGCTCTCTCTCTCTTCAAACCCTAACAGTTCTATTCTCGTGTAAGGGATCGTGGGTGAGCACTTCTCAGGAGTCCTATACTAAGACGAACCAACCGTCTATTAATTCCAGGTTTTCAGTGATGGTTTAGCTTATATTTTACTCGTGAACTCAACTAAGAAAAACATCTAAACTTATCTACTTGATCAACTATTTAAAAGGATATGTAACCTTATACATTTTGATCAGTTGAGAATTAGTGTTTGGTGCATAAATACATCTTCATCTAAAAATCTCGATTTATACCTTGGATTGAGTTTCGTTCTTTCAAATAGTTAGCAGATCTTCTTCAGTCAGAGCAAACAACCATACCATTAGCTATTAAGAAGAAAGTATATATATATATATATATATATATATATATATATATATATATAATTGGTGAATTAGATTTCTAACTCAATTAATTTATCGATATTGCCGAATCCCATACATATAATAGATTACTGATTGACTGTTAGCTGATTCATCCAAATTTGTTGATTGACCGAAAATGTAAACTAATATGTGATTTGTTATTATAATAGATGTCATTTTGTTAGAAGCTAGTGACTAAATCAGTCTTCTAATCATGTTTTGTTCCTTGCCTTGGTATAGCATTCTCGTTCCTATGAAATAAGTTGTATCTGATAGCTAATCTTGAGTTATAGCAAACAGCCATGTTATTAGCAGTAATTAGCAATCAATTTAAATCACAGCACTGGCAAATCAGTCTTGTTATAAGTGATTACAAGCATTACATTTTTAAATAAAAATTATATTATTTAGTCGAATAAAGTGTACATCCTGGATTCCATTAATAGCCACAATCCAAATAAACTGAAGACCTTGATAAAACTAGCTATAAATATGTCAATGCTTTTGTATCGGTTGTTTGAATCTTTGCAATAATGTTGAAAACTACGATTGGTTTGTCTCTTTTTAGCATATGTGCACCTAGTGTGGATTACCTTGATAGTTCCATTAAGTCATAAGCATTATCGCAAAGTTGTATGGTAATTAGCAGTGGCAGTCCTCATGGGATGGACATATACTGATCAATTGCAGTCCTGAACACAATCAGAAGATTCAAAAGACCAATACAAATGAATTAAAATCCATCCTATTGCACAAGCCAGTGGCTATCTGAATACAGCAGCTAAGTGGTTAATGCAATGGCGTTTGAAGCGAACGGTTTCGGGATGCAGGCATATCCAGATGAAGAGCGTGAAATAGGACGAAACGCTAGTCATTATCTAACTCTACCATAAATATATCAGTTTTTATATTCCATAACAGCTCAACAGAATATTATATGCATTGATTGTAGACATATGATCGATAACAAGTCATATATATTATAGTTTCTTAATAATTTTTGCCTAATCTATTCTAACGCATGAAATCATTCATTAATTCCTAACAGTACGTCACAGAAAGTGTTAGGTCATTTGGAAAGCGTAAAGAAGGTCAAAGGATTTAAACTGTATAAAGCACGTGTATGTTATATTGTGGCGGGAAAATAAGAGTCAAAAAAATAGCTTCTAGCCTTTTTTTTTGTGTGTGTGTGTCAAGAGTATTAAAATAAATGAACATATATCCTGAACGTATTTTCTTAAACTTACTTATGAATGGAGGTTTCAGCTAGTTATAAAATAACAAAAGAGGGAAATCTAGTCTCAGTCTAAATAATTACAATCAGTAATCATCATCCTTTCTGGATCACAAGTAATTTTAATGTAGAAAATATGATAAACTAGCTATAAAACGTTGGATTGTCAAAAAATTCGTCCATCTCTTTGATTGTAGACAAGTACTAGTTGTTAGAGAATGCAATGAGGTATGATATAAAGTAATATTTCATTGTAATGTACATTAACTAAAGAAAGCAATCCTATTAGAAATATGTAACACTTTACTTTATTGAATGAAATAAGATTTCCAGTTATCTATTTCAGAATTATAGTCAATCAATATTTATTTAAGTGATCTAAAGGTGTAAAACTCTTTTCAATATTATTCGAGCCAAATCGATATTTTAAGAATTCCAAAGTTTATTGAACATTATATCATACACCACGAAATATGTACAAGCAAAAAGAGAATTTAATAAGTGAGTAGGTAGTGTCCAACATACCATCACAGATAATAATTAAATGAATGTATATTTAATACATTACTTATCCAAATCCGAATTATTCTCTCTAGCATACCTCTAGTTGTAATACTAAAGGTCATGGAATTTAATAATATGAGACATTATTAGATATGCGTCAGAATGGAAGCTAGTGAAAATTATTCCTGCATCTATTTAATGTACATCATTGTTTGATACGTCATTGGACTACTTAACTTTATTGTTCAGTCATAAGTAACGAAGAATTCAACATAGTTGTATGTCGATTTAAGTTGCCATACCATATCGGTACAGTGAAACGATTACGATAAATTTCATAGTAGTAGAATTAGTAAACAAGATAATAATTTAAGAAAATATAATGAATTCTCAGAATAAAAAGTGTAAGATTGTTTTAAAAACTTAATGTTTGAATAAAAACAAAGAGTGAATTTAATTTGGTCAATTATAAATGTACTCAATATTCCTCAATATCTTCAACTACTGAGTAAGATAATCGCGAGGACCTAAACTATATAGTCTGAACCTACCTACACTGTTCATTATAACAGTCAATAATTTTATAAACTGATACCATGTCTTGATTTAATCACTCCAGTCATTGTGGTGATATGATAGGAAGGAAAGTCAAAATTAGATTGATTTATTGATTATGATTTTTTTAGTTCAACATTAATTCCGTTTTCATTCAATATGATGATTATTCAGTGTAGTATTCGGTTTTGTTATCCTGTATGATCTTTTTATTCTGCATAGTATACGATATTCTTGTATTTAATTGACATGAACTATATTCAGTATATGACTTATTATATATGTGATTTCATCGTAATTATTAATAAAAGAAATGGGTGTATGAATCAATATATAAATGAGTGTATTTTCAACTAGGATCGTCGTCATCGTGTTTTAGGGGTTCAATTATGCCAGTCTTTATGTTCTTACTTTTACATCGTGATAATTGCGAAAATCCCTCATTCCGAGTTTAATTGATAAGCGTTTCCAACATAAGAATCAGTGACAACCAGTTATAACAAATAGCGTTCAATCGACAAGACATATCATTATTTCATCTACTAGTAAACAACACTTGTATGTACTAGGAGTATCCAACTAAAAACTTTGACAAATCTATTAATAATTCTCTATTTTATTTTATAAAAAAAAATAATTTTTATTATTTTGATTGGTCAACTCCATAGTAATTATATCAATCATTATAGTATATAATGACAAATTTCATTATGATCAATACATACATTTACACACTTGGTACTTTATAAATAAAACAGAGAAGAAGCATTATAAATGAACTGACAATGTAAAGAAAAGCAAAATCACAGAAGAAAAAGCAAATCAACTAAAGAGCAATTTGTTTTTTTAACAAAACAAAACAAAATATGATCAAGATGTAGGTCAATAAATAATAATAGGAATAATCATATTGACAGAGGCAATGATCGGTTATCTGTTAAGAATGGTAAGATGACAACTGGACAAGATTTGATTGTTGTTGGTTTTAAAGATTTCTATATGAAATTGAGCAATAATCATATAATAGAGACCGTAGTCAGACATAGAAAATAGTTAAATCAGTAAAGTTACGCTATACATTATCATGTTTGTGTGTATCTGTGTATGTGAGTTGAAGGGGAGTTGTGTTGAATTGTATTTTCTGATATCTTGTATTGGTTATTTTGTTCATCGAATAATGAAATAGAATTTTACATCAATGGTAATACTATGAAACATTTGCCAAGAATTCATACGTGTGAGTATATAGATATAATTGATATTGGATACAAATCTTAGAAGTAATGAACAATAAATTGGGGAGAGGTAAAGGGCGATAACAATGAAAAGATTGATGGAAGAAATCATTAAAATATTGTATACAAAGAGTTATTGAGTTGTTTATACATTGATTTAATTGGAAAACATTATTCAATAATATAATAATAATAATATGATAATATATTGGATAGTAGATAATCATATTTTATATCCAGAATAGTTTATTTATTTGTCTAGAAAAAGCAATAAAAAATTGATAAATTAATAAAACTAATTTCTAATCTAAATATTTTGAAAATATAAAACAAAACATGAGTTGAAGTAAGTCAGTATGGATGAACACAGCTATTTCCACCCCCCACCCCCTTAGTATATAATTGTCTCTTTATAACAGTGTACACGTATCATTATGTTGGGGATAAAACATAGGACTGCTAGATTTTGATGGGAGTATTTTGAAGTTTAGTAAATACTAAACCATTGAACTATTACTCAGTAGTCTGTTAGTTAATAGTTTCTTAAGAGTTATCCAAAGTACATCGAATTAAGTATTTAAATACATGTACAACTTATAAATTGACTTTAGTTTGGCGACCATTAAAAACTGGAAAGCTTTGATTATGTGTTTTTACCTTAGTATGAGACTCCTAATCAATGTACATTCATAAGAACACGAGGGATAAAACTGACGACTTTCAAACCTCACCAACAGCGCCTAGTCAGTTGTCAAAGCCCAAAGATTTTGATAGAGCCGTAAATGTAAACTGTGGAGTCTCAAAGTAAGATGTAATATATGTTCACCGTTCACCGACTTGCAATAGTTATCAAATCAAAGTCATTTTCATACCTGTCTAGTGATCAGGTTGAAATCTGGCCATCGATATAAGTGACTCAACCATTCTATGCATTTTGATGTATATAGAGTGCTTAAAGTTAACCAACAACAAATCGTGTTTTGATGTAGGTTTCGTTCTAACTGATACTCATCATCAGAGTTTAACTTAAAATCTTCTATAGTGATGATACTCTTTTTTAATTTATCGACAATCAACAGCATCAATATATCTCTAATCATTCCCGTGAAATTCGAATCTCACACCTACTCAATCAGCTTAATTCAACATTGCAATTGAAAGAAGATCTCAATCTGATTCTATCATATTATTTTCATGAATACCATTGAACTAATAAAGTTTTCTAAACTAACAAATTCTATATGGAAGATTCTTTAAAACTGATTAAAGAACATTCCTGAATTCATTTAAAAATATTCACAAAAATTTTTGATAATGTTTTGTTCTCTAAACTGGATGGTTTAGTCGTGTAGCTTTCATCGTTCTTTTGAACGACATTATCAGCATAACTCCATGTGAGCTACAAATTTTCTCCACTATCTGAAAATTCACAAAAGTCTATGTACATATTATTTCATCTATATAAATAATCTCAGTAAATTAGGCAACAGAAACTAACTATTAACCTCATATAATTCCATTTTCTTTATTTAAATTTTGAACTGAAATAATTGACTGTTTTTTTTTCTTAAAAAAAGAACAAAACAAATAATTTAAACTTTTATTTCCGAAGCATTTCTTGATAGAAACACAGTAATCACAACAACTTCGAATGAAATCAAACTAGTTGCGTTTTGCGTGTGTGTGTATGTGTGTGTGCGTAAGTATATAGATGTCCTCTATTCTGGCAAATAATATTAATTAATTTTCAGTACTATATTATACTCCATAGTTATGTTATGATGATTAGTTCTACGGTTATACACATCCATGACCTCAGATTAGCATAAGCTAAAGTGTTCATAATATTGACGTTGTAAATATACCTTCTCTTCTACTTTGCGGTTGTTGTTTTTCCTCAAGCATAAAATAAAAATATATTACAGGATCCACTGTGAACACATTGACACACATTACCACACTGATGCGTACACATATACACACATACATGAATGCTAAAAACTTCAACTGTATATTTAAACAGAAATAAGAAACCGAGAAAGAATTCATTTAAGAAAATAAGTATAGAATAAGATGAACATAATAAAATTTTAAAGTTTTTCAACGAACAGATTCAACTCGAAACAAAATAAACCTTGAGGGCCTATAATTAGTTTTATTTTAAATATGTTCATGTGTGTGTGTGTATATGACAAAGTGAGTATGTGTGAGAGATAGAGAGAGACAACGGGATAGAGTTAGAAATAAATAAGGCCAACTTGAATGTGATACATAGAATAAGTTGACTGTAAGCACGAATCTATTTTGAGACTAGTGCTTAATCAGAAAATATACACACATACATATGCATAGATTCACTCACATATAGTAAGTTATTTGTCAGTTATTTTTTCAAATTCACGTGGTAAGACTCAATACTATAAATAACACGAGGATAATAATAATAATAATCACTGTAAATGGATAAAGTTAGATTACCAGAAGCAGTTCTTGTAACCCAAAAAGACCGGAAGTATCACTAATGCTAGTAGTAGAGCAAAATAAGAAAATGGTCAAATTGGGACGATAGTAATAACTGGAATAGATACATACACTAACATATATATACTCTTAGTACAATAAAAGTAGGTCAGGTTATCCTAAACCGAAAATCTGTCTTTTTCTTTAAGAGCTATTAGAGAATCAAATCTCGACTGTGTGTTTATGTAAATATGTGTGAGTGTGTCTATGTCCTATGATATTTATAACATGGTGTAAGTATTCTATACTATATTAGTGACTACTTTCCCATATACATTCATTTTAACTATACAAAACTAATATTGGTAAATATACTCATGTATATATATTACATAGAAATGCATTGATGCTTACTCATTTAGATATGTATATGACAAGTGAAAAACGAAACCATGAGACGTCAATGTGGAACAAAATGTTAAAACAGTTTCTCGAGATTTTTAGGAAGCAAATTAGGGTGGCATCAAATAGACCTATAAACACAGAAATTATATTCCAATACAAATGTATGCCGGAAGTGAACAGTAGTAAAAGTGGTATTATTAGGAAAAGTAAATAAAATTTTACTATTATTGGTAGTCATCGAGTTTGATTGTTGATTATAAATTTATCATATAATAATATTCTAATCATCATTATTAACAGAGATAATAATGAGATGTTTGCATTTCATCATGTCACATTATTTAGTTCTTAAAAATAGTATTATTATTACTATTGTAACAAATATTGTTGAACTTACACATCAAATATATGGTTATTTAGACTAGGTGTTGAGGTTTTAGGAGGTCGGAGGTAGGTGGCCAATATCATAAGCAGTTCAACTTGGTTTTGCTAGTTGGGACTCGTCGAGAAGACGTAAATGTAATAATGAAGGAACTGATGCTGACTAAACGAATAAAATCTGGTTGACTTAGGATTTCTATAGATTTTGGATCAAATGATTTGCAACTTTGGTCAGAGTTTTTAATTACCTTTTGTTGACATTCAGAAAAACAGTCGACTAGTCTTTGTTGTTATGTGTGCATCCTGAACTGCATTGATATGGCATTGGGTCATGAGTTATAGTATATTTGGTACGTAGTTAACAGTGGAATCTGGAGCACGCGTTTCGTCCCACTTGTGACTCTTTGGTATTGAAGTATACATCCAAAATCGAACTCGCTATATATTGATTCAAAAACGAACGCGTTATCCACTGTGCTATTGAGTAGATGTAGTTATTAAACTGCTTAACGGTCGCGAAGGTGGATATTTGGAATCAGTCTCACAGTGAATAGAGCATTTGAGTTTCAACTGAAAATTACCGGGTTTGAGTTTCAAGTTGAACATCGACAGTATGTTGGAACTAACGTATCCCAATCGGAGTAAAACATGTGTTCTGGGTTCCACTGTTAGCTACAAACTAAATATACTAAACGTTTCCTCTTAACGTCATGTCGGGACAATCCCTTTAAGAAGCACATACGATAAAAGATACTGATCAATTAAAGTCCTGAACATCAGCAATAGGAAGTTAAAAATTCTGAAAGACTTATATTAGTATGTTTTAGTCATTTATTTTAAGGAAACAGTCCCATGCTAGAACGAAACGGTCGTCCAATGCTTTCAGGTTTTCAATGGTGATTTCAATGAAATACAACATTCTCCACAACCCTTTGTTGACAACTGTCATGTGCTCAATAGTGAGTAACTTTTAGAAAGAATTTGCGGAGTTCTAGTAAGAAGTCATAACTAGTGAAGTTAATCCATATAGGTTATGAGGCAGTTACCCACCGAAAACAACGAAAGGTGGTCTCTTAATGTCGTGGATTGATGGAAGTCAGGCAATAATGCTGTCAGATGCCGACTCAGTGGTCTAGAGGCTAGACATTCTCATGTGAGACTGCAGGTTCTGGATTTAATTCTTACGTGCCGGTCCGTGAATGCACACTGTTGAAGAGTCCCATACTGAGACGAAACAGCCGTCCAGTGCTTTCAGGTTTACAATGGTGGTTTAACCTTGATTGATTCATCGTTTCAATGAAATTTATTTATTTTTTCTAAATAATAATTATTGGTCAATAATTAGTACACTTGTTCACACTTTTTGATATCCAATAAACAATACACATATATATACCTATAAGTATTCATTTTGTATTGTAAAACATTTATTTTCAGTTCAAACTTTTAGATACAGCCCAAAATTTAATAATTGACAAGTAACCATCTGTTTTGAAATTTCTTTATTCATTCCCAAATATCACTATTGTTACTATCACTGCTACTAATAGTAATGTTAGTAATGATGTCTCTCATTATTATTATTATTATTATTATTATTATTATTATTATGGTATATACTAGCGTAAGTAAGTAAGTAAAGTATAGATGTCATAAAAAAATAAAGTTATTTTTTTCATTTCATACAAAAATATCTTACACTAATAAAAATTATATAGTTAAACTAACAACAATAAAATTAGTTCTACAAGACAAAAAAAAAGAAAAGAAAACCACCAAAGGAAGACATTTCTTTTTCATAGTTCTTGACACAATAATGAACATAAGATGAAGAAAAAACACACAAACAAAATAGAATAGAAAAAAAAAACAAGTAACAATAACAACAACGACAACAAGTAAAAATGTGTAACATATAATGATCTTCTTTCTACCCCGTAAAACTCTTTCTCTCTCTCTCTCTCACTTTCTGTTCCTCCTTATATCTGATTCTCTCATGCATTTACTTTTGCACGAACATGTACAAGGATACATAGATTGTAGAGAAAGTGATAAACATTAAGATAAAGTAATGGAATGTATGGAACTTGATGATGATGTGTATTTAAGGAATTATTCTTTTTTTTTTAAAAAAAAAATTAACAAATGTAGATAAGTTTATACATACATATATAACTTAGAAAAAGTGAAACAGATGAATGTAACTAATATCAAGTTATATATATTAAAGAATTTAAGATAGTGAAATAGTTTTCTTGTAAAAACGAAATATTTCAACTCAAGAAACGCAAAGTGAATGAAAGAGAATTTAACTTAGTGTTCAGTAAAGCAAACAAACAAACAAACAAGCAAATATTGCATATTTAGATATGTGTATAAACTAATCATACAGAGAAAGAAACTGTATCATGGTATACATGTTATACAACACACGAGATAACAACAACACCAACTATAATAACAATGAGAACATGATAGGATGCAAGTTATACCTGAAGAAATATCTCTATTTCCGTACACACTATGCATATATATCATAAACAAGATAGGTAACAGGTGGTCAGTCAAAGAAATTCATTAATCACTATTTTGTTTTTTTTTCATTTTGATAATAATGACGGGAGAAAAAGGAAAATCGAAAAACGGAATAATTTTTTTCATCTACAATTACATATTTTATAAATTAAATGAAAATAAAAATGAAAGCACTAAATTATAAATTTTTGTTTAAATGAGACAAAAAAGGATAAAGAGGTGGATATATGTGTGTGTGGGTTGTTTTCACCGAAAATTCTGTTCAGAATTAAATTTATTGTATTGATATATTTCTAGTCGAGTTCAAACATGTCGGGAGTAGAACAACCGTCATCAAGGGGATTTGATGATTGCTATTAATATATTGTTAATGGATTATATTTGGAATTATATTATTGGACACCGACTCAATGATGTGAATTGTTAAGCGTATGCTATGAAATCTAAAGATTCTAGGTTTATTCTTTATCAGGATCATGAATTCTCATAATCATTGAGGAATCTTAAACTAGGACTAAACAGATATCCAGTACTGCTTAGTTTTAAGTAAAATCTTAATCGATATCCATCTATGATGAATTAAAAGCTACCAGTTAGACTATTTCCACAAAAACCCTTTAATTGATAAATATATTAAACATTAAGCGATCTCAGTAGGGTTTGTGGAGATTATTATCAAGTGTAGTATGAAATATTTATTATGAACCGATACAACCACTTAGAAGCACGAGTTCTAGTGTTTTATTCTAGTTATAACAGTAATCAACCATTTGATATTTATAACTCTTTCATGGATATTGAAATAAGAACTTTCAAATCTGACAATGAAAATGGCACTTCTAGTTTGGTAAATTAGAATTCCATTGTTCATTTATTCAGTTTCAGTCAGTTTTGGGGTGAATGGCATCAGTCATGGAAACGCCATACATATATGGACAACTGCTACATACCCATACATTTTCTTGAATTGGCTGAACTACAACAGTTACAACCTATCATTAGAACTCCACGAATCTCCATATCGAAACCAGAAAAAATAGGTGAGTTGGTGAGTCAGAGCCACCCTCAGGCAATATGATGTTTCACTGAAACTTCACATCTCGAAAAGGATATACATTATATTACATTTTCTTTCAATAATAAAAGCCTAAACTTTGAGTAAAGTTTCTTCCGTTAGAAAATTATTGAATAACACTTTGGTTACATGGATGCCGGTACACATTATTCAACATTAAAATGGAAGAAAAAACATTATCAACATACTTGATTCACAAGTCAGTTTCTTGAAGTTCTAGGTGCTGTTTGAAGGTGTGCAGAAAGCGAACCAAGAGAGAGGGAGAATCGAAGACAAAAAACAGACAAGTTATGAAAGGAACAAGCAAACTGTTGTTTCAAAGTGCTGGATTCCAAAAATTCTCCGCATTATTATGACTATTAATATCTATTTTTAGTAGTAAGATATGTTTAATTTATTTACTTACTTAAAATACTACTAATCATTTAATCAAACGTTTATCTGTGGTAGAACGATACATTCTCAAAATCAGTTTTGTTTAATACTGGGCTATCATTGGTTTATGACTGGTCTCCTGCAATGACTGGGATATTTTATCAATAGTTAGCTACATACTAGCAAAAAGTAATATGATAATACAATCCCATTGGTGTTGGTTTGATTCTATCGATGAACTTGCAATGTGCCGGTTAGTGTTTAAGGTTTTTATATCGTAAACACTACGCTATGATGTATGGTGAATGAGACTGTTACACGGGGACTAATTCTCCATGACTTCAAAAGTCATTATAGAACTGTTACTGTTCATGTGATAGAATAGCAATAAATAGTTCCATGGTTGATGCCTGAGTTAGACCGCTTCAATGATGAACAAATTTTCGTTAACAATTCACTTATGGATAAATGCTCATAAATACCCGTATTGTGTAAATTCATTATTTTGAAATATGCAACTCAATGACTAAGTACTAAAATATCTTAATTTACTTTCGACTACGATAAACACCTCCGGTTAATGACTAAATATCGGATCGGACTACATTCGTATTGGTTTTATTGTGTTCATTCTGCACAATTAATGCGCATTATCATTCAGATTCGACGTCTACTTCAACCATGCATAAATGTGAAGCAGCTATCCATATTTTAACTATTTAGACGTTTACTACTTAATTAATTATCAGTAGTTAATAATACAATTTGACTTGTGAAAAATAAAACTCACCTGCAAATTTGTAGCAACCGGATCGATGAGTATTGTTGGAACGTTTTCTGCTTGTAGGTGCATGCTTTGACGATTAGGTTTGACTACCTCTTCGGCCTGTCGAAATAAATATAAATGCAAGATAAGTGAGCCATTTATAAAAAAGGCTTTATAAATTAGCAATAAATATTTTTTGGTGTCAATTGACTGACTCTAAATTTTAACTTCATTTTGTGATACCAAGTGTTCAGCTAAATACTATCTGAAGCACTATTGAACGTTATAACAATGATATATATATATATATATACCGATTAGATTGTTTCATAATCCACGGAAATTACATGGAACTCCATTTGTTTATGCAAAGTTACAATAGAGTTTTTTTAAAAGGTTGAATAAAAAAATACCCTGTATGGATCACCATATCGGAAATACACATTTGTTTCGGGCTTAGCCGCCGTTTAACGTATTATTGATGACTTTATAACAGGCTTGATCTTAAACTGGATCATTGAATTATAAGCTTTGAAACTGGAATTTTCTATGGTGATAACGTTAGTTAATACACTATCTGGTACCTGGTTTCAATAACTACCTCATGATTGGCGTTTTTTAAAGCCTGATTTGAATCGTTACTTAATAATCTTAAAACTTAGAATTAAAGACTAATGGTTTATTTCAAAAGTAAGCTTTAATATTTTAGAACGATATATGATTATCGGTACTGTCAAATCGATTATAATAAACATAAAACTGTAGAATATTTGATTTTTTATAGATCACACTGCGTACTTTTTGGATGTATAACGAGACTGTGAACGGGCAGATGAAACTACAGATCTGAAAAATGCTAATTCAGTTAAAAATCTCTTACACAGTAAAGAAGCAAAGAGTCCCTAGGCTTGCTCATGTATATCATAACATCAGTAAACAGAAAAGGTTAATATTGACTTTCAGGAAACAAATATTTTGTATCCGTACCGCGATTTTTGTGAATAGTGTTATTTCTCAGTAACATGAATTATTCTACTTATTTCACTTTACATAGTACGACAGAGAATCATAAGAATGCACTCGTCCTTTAAAAATGTTCTCGTATTGCCGCGCGTTTATAGCTACTGCAAGGGAAGTGCTGCTCATTACCCTCTCGCCACTAGAATGTTATTTATGAGTGTGAGGGCAAAAGCGAGCGAGCACTTGTTACATTCGTATGGAGCCATGGAAATAATGAGTGAGGTCGCTTTAAGGTCTAGCTTATAAGCTCTAGGTTTCTGAATGCTCCTTTCAACAGTTTAAGGCAGATCGGTATACGCTGGATAACTTTGATTTTGGTGATAAATGTGAATATTTACATAATAAAATCATGCCGAATTTGCATAAGAACTAGGACAACTGATGGGGCGCGCCTTTGACGTGAAAGCAGTATCTGTATTTAGGATGTATAAAAACCCGTTTCAACTCCTCTGAGTCACTGGCGTTAAGAAGTCTGGTGTAAGAAAATGAATCTATGAGGTTGGTGGGATGTCAATCAACAAGCCTCAATAAAATCTTGAATGATGAGTAGAAAATTTTCAGGAACAGCTCTTCAAGTTCCATAAATCACTAAACCCAGTCGACCTACTCCAATGTTCCTTTAAAGAAGGTAGAGAACTTCTGGTTGGATAACTGACTGGGTTGTTTGGACGGTTTTGAGAAATAGATGAGATTATGTATATTTTTAAAAGTTCCTACAATTGCTTTTTGAAACTTACCAGAAGCCGAATAATTCTCTTTTAGGCTACCTGGTGAAATTCCAGAATTTATTACTAGCTTTACATATATTTTAACTTTTAGATGATACCATGACTTTTGGGGTCTTACTTGTATCTGTACTCGTCATTTTTTACTTCTATACGTAAACAAATCACATAGTAAATTTTCAAATATAATCATACGAGTCTAGAAGTTAATCATGAATTAAATCACCGCTTCACTGTTTCTAAGTTAAGATGAAATATTAAAGGTTCTCCTCATTCCAAATAAGGAGTAGTTGTACAGTGGCCAGCTCCACTAATATAATGGCGATCCGGTAAGGCTGTACATATCCCAATGGAGATTGATCAAGGAGAAAATTAACGGTACTTATAAATATGTTATAGTTGTTTTACATGTCATTTAGCCAAAAATCATCTTTTCAATTTCATTCAGTCTTTTTTACTCAATCCCATAATATTTTCTAGATCAGTTACCATCACCTTACTGTATATTTGCCAACCACAATCAATATAATAAATTTAACTGCATTATGTTTACTACTGATAAATGGAAATTAAGTAGCAAAACATATGAAGTAGTACTGGAATCAGTAGGATGATTAAGTAATTCATTTTTTATTGAGTGTGACATATGTATTTTGGGAAAATTAGTAAATAGATTCTTATGATAAGTTATAGAAGGATTGATTCAGTATGACAATTTGTATAGTCCACATTATATTAATTAATGACTAGTCAGTTACACCAATAATGTAAAACAAATATTCACATAAATGAAGTTATTGAAATATTATTTTGGAATCTAATATTTGGATGGTAAAATTCATTTTTGTCTTCTTTCTGTTTTTCATGGGTTTTGTTGTATTGAGTTTGTGTAGGGTTAAGTGAATACAAGAATTACGTTTTCTGTAGTACGGTTGGTTTGAAGTTCAATAGTGTATACATTTCGTATTTAATAACAGTGTCAGTAGAAAAAGAGAAATACTTTCACTTGTCAACACTCTATTCGGGATATATGCAAACTGTCATTTTTTGAGAAAATATCTACGTATCTGTTTAGCTTCATATAGGTTTGAAAAAATACTGTTCTTCCCTCCTATCTACAAATAATTCTCTAAGGTCAAAGATTTATTTATCCAACTCATTCACCAGGTACAAATTAGTGTTCGTGGCTACAGGTTACACTTTAAGCGTGAAGTTTAATGACACGTCAAGGTTACTCAGATCGAAACAGTTTGGGCGTAATTCAAACATGTGAATTAATAGTTGTTAATCAAAAACCTTTCCCACTGAACCATCAGTCCACCTTAAAATAATAAATGTTCGAATGGAACACGTATGACATTTAAAATGTAAACATGATGTTTATTATCGAGTACGTGTACAGAACAAATCAATTGTGATAGTAAAACTTACAAAGATACTCATATGACTGGCATTGATTTCAATAGGACAAACAAGCTCAGTACTAGCATCATCATCACCAACACCACTAACATGAATGTGATGGTTGGATTTGGGTCCACGATTAGAATTGAAAATATTTTTCTTTTTCGTAAACTATTTATATTTTTAAAAGTGTTAGATAAAACGAGAAAACCAAATGGTAAAAAGTAAAACAGTAAAAACACAGTACATCGGTCTCAAGCAGAAACGCTGATCTTCCAGATATTGTAGTGAACACGAACAAGAGCGGGGGACGATCAAATATATTTGACAACAAATTACAGAACTTGTTGGTAAAATCTAACAATCATAAAGTAAATGCTCAATTTGCAAAATGTCCATCAATTGTCTCAAAATGACTCAGACTTCGTTGTTCTTGCATTTTCATACAAATCGCATTCTGTTTTCATTCTTTACTGTTTGATCTTTTTGTCTCTCTGCTGCCAGACATTCTGTTCACGACTAACATCATATACTACTTATGTCTACATAAGTAGCACACATCACAATATGACCCGACCATATTCCATTGTCTTCGGTAGGTACCTTACTCATAATGACAAGGTTGGACTCCATTGATTTACTCACCGATGACCATGTTTGAGAGAAACCTAAGTCTACTAGGCTTAATATTATGAGGACAGGACTGATCAGTTTGAACAGATGGGGATGATATTCTTCACCACAGAGTTGGAATCCAGTAATCCATATTTTGCAATTTCAATTGGTTCATGAATATAAAAGCCTAACTATTTTCAAGTTCTTTACATATTATTTACTTAACTTTAATTAAGGTTAAAATCTACAGGTCGCTACGACTTACTAAGCTTTCGAAAATTTTATTCGAAGCTAGTTATCACCCAGCAGCATTTCATAGAATAGATGGATTATGGTTAGAATCTTGTCACATTCGAACTCAAACCCAGTACCTTTCACTCCAGTCCACCTATTTTACAAGAATTTGTGACAAATCTACACAGAGTACAGATGTAAAAAGAAAAAACAGGACAAAACCCAGTCCTGAATCTTAGCGAGATGGTTCAAACTCTTATTTGAATGAAGTAGTTTCATAACAGACTTTAAACTAGTTTTTTAATAACTGAGAAATTTAGTTCCTTCTATTCGAAGATTAAATAATGAAATCAATCTTCATTTCATCATCAAATTACATTACCAAGATTTAGTTTGATAATTTCATGTAACTTGAGAATTGGGTCAATTGTTTATAGTAATACAATAATACTATATGGATGGACCGTGACTAGAAGTGGAATTCCGAACGCGTGCTTCGTCACATTTAGTATTTATCGACCGAAAGTAGCCTGAATCTCACTGCTGTTGACTTAAGATTTATGTAAATTTGCGAAAAATGGCTGTATCGAGGCTCAGTTCTATGACTTTCCCCATATAACGAAATAAAATTGATGAGAAAGCAAAACTCCTCTAACATAAAAGTTTCCTAACTAAGTAATTATTTACTTTCTCTAAATTAACTAACAAGAAATGTATTCACTTACTTTGATTTTAGAATGTATTGTCAGTGGATTATTATTATTCGTGTATTCATTATGTTGTTTGCGCTTCCATATATCTAACCCAACAAGTTCAATAAATTTATTTGTTAAATGTCGTCTAACAAGTGATTTCACTGGGGGAATTCGCAAAATATCAGCTAAAAGATCTGGTGTAAAACGATCTTCTAGAATCTTTTAGAGTAAAAATAAGAAATGAGAGAATAGGATATTAATTAAACTAATATTGTGATGTTATTAATGAATTAGACAACCGGTCATGAGCGTAACCATAAAAACTTTCAGCGCTATGAAAAGGTCTCAATACATGGATTAACTGGATATCATCTAATATTACATATAAGTTAAACAAAATTGGGGATCTGGAAGCACCGAACAGTCTTTTCAGCTTAGGATGAGACTCTTCAGTGATGTGCATCCATGACTGCGAAACCAGGAATCGAAATAAACTTCTTTATTCTCGCGTGGTAACGCGTAAATGGTCGCGGAGTCGAAGATGTACGCTGATAAGAAGTTCAATAGTAAGAAAAACAGATATTCAGTGGTTCCAGATTGACAGTGTTCATGTTACGTAGATAGCTCCATCATCTTAATGAAATTCAACAATTTCCACAACTCCATACTGATAATTATCATCTAGTAGTCGTCTACCAGCTATACCTGTAGTCCTTCAAAAGTTAATGTCAGTCCCAATCCCGGATAGAGATTGAGGGTCGAACATGGGATCAACAGCCTCATTCCGTAGAAAACAATCTTGCTAAGAAAACAATAGCCAGGAAAAATAGTTTAAACCATTTAAACTCTATCCTGTGCGTTGAAGTATCTTCATTTAAAAGAATTATGGCACCTAATAGTGAAAGCCGAAGTTCTTTGGAAGTCACGAGGGCGATACTCCTACTAGCAACCAGCAATTGACATAGGTACATTGAATGTCTGGACAATGTAGGAAACCGGGAGGATTAGTCAAATAGTTGTGGAAATGAGGAGATACAACATAGCAGTTCTCGGAATAAGCGAAACCCATTGGACTCAAGCTAGACAGAAAATATTAGCTTCGGAAGAGGTGATGATGTACTCTGGTCATGAGGAAGAGAATGCTTCGGATATACAAGAAGTTGCTCTAATGCTATCCAAAGAAGCACGAAAAGCACTTGTAGGATGGGAGTCTCATGGATCCAGATTCATCAAAGCATCCTTCAAAGCAAAGAAGGAGGAGATCACAAGGAATACACACATCAATAATAGCAATGAAAACGATAGAGATCAGTTTTACCAGAGACTGTAGTCGATCGTAGAGAAGTGCTTAGGAAAAGACCTGATCATTCTGATGGGCGGCCTAAACGCCAAAGTCGGAGTGGACAACACCGGGTATGAAGATATTATGGGACTACAGGGACAAACTGGGAGAAAGGAACGAGAATCTTAGGAGATTTGCAAATTTATGTACAATTAACAAAATGGCTATATGTGACACTATATTCCCCCCACAAACGCATTAACAGAACTACATGGGTTTCACCGGATCACACTACAGAGAAACAGTTAGGTTATATTTGAATAACTTCAGATCACCACGTGGTGATTGCTGAGATGAAACTAAAGCTAAAGAAGCACTGTACAACTGAAGAAACAGCACTACAAAGGTTTATTACAGCCTTCTTTCTAGATACTGAGAAACTCGACAAATTCAAGAGAGCTACCAGCAACAGGTTCCAAGTCCCACAAGATCTACTCAAAGAAGAGCAAACTACTATGAAGGACAACTGGAAAGATATCCAAGAAGCAGTAATTTCAAGGAGTCAGGAAGTGCTAGGCCGCAAACAGCACCATCATGAAGAATGGACCTCCACAGATACCCTGGGCAAGATTTAAGAAAGGAAGAACAAGAAGACAGCAACCAACAACAGCCGAACAAGAACAGAGAAAGTCAAGGCATAGACTGAAAACACAGAAGCAAACAAGAGAGCGAAAAGGAACACTACAGTCGATAAGCAGAAATACTTTGATTTCATAATGACAGAGGAAAAGGTTGCAAAAGAAGGAAATATGATACAACGAAGAGGGTAGCAGGAAAATATAGTAAACCAGAATGACCGGTCAGCAACAAGGAAGGCAAACGAATTACTAAGATTCAAGAACAGCGGAACAGGTGGGCACAGCACTTTGAAAAACTATTGAATAGACCAGTTCCTATGAACCTACCAGACATCGAAGCTGCACCTACCGAACTTCCCATAGATCTCGCCCCACCAACAATCAAAGAAATCAGCATGGTCAATAGACATTTCAGGAGTGGAAAAGCGGTGTGACCAGACAATATACCATCTGAAAATATGCTGTATGATCTATTCAGGAAGATTTGGGAGGAACAGCCAGTGCTGACTGACTGAAAGAAGGATGCCTCATCTAGATACCAAAGAAAAGAGATATGAGCAAGTGCGAACACTACAGAGGCATCACACTACTATAAGTACCAGGCAAAGTCTTCAATAGACTGTTGTTGAATCGAACGAAAAGTTCAGTAGAAGCCCAACTTCGAGATCAATAGGCTGGATTCCGTAAGAATCGGTTGTGCACAGATTAAATCGCGGCACCACGGATCATCGTTGAACAATCAGTTGAATGTAACTCGCCGCTACACACAACTTCCTTGACTATAGCAAAGCGTTAAACAGTGTGGATAGGAGAATTTTGTGGGACCTACATTGACACGACAGTGTACCTGGAGTTCATACGACGGACTAAACTGAAAAGTTGTGAATGGAGAACAACTGACAGATGAATTCCGGGTGAGGACTGGTGTCAGACAATTCTACTTACTCTCACCCTTTTTCTTCTTTGTGGTAGTCGACTGGATTACGAAGACCTACATATTTCAGGGGAAGCATGGAATACAATTGACAGGTTGGATTCAGCTAGACGGTTTGGACTTTGCAGATGACCTAGCTCTTCTCTCCCATACACATCAACAAATGTATATGAAGAAATTCAATGTAGTAGCAGCGTCTGCAACAGTAGGCCTCAACATACAAAAGGGAAAAAACAAGATCCTCAATTACAACGCAGAGGACACTAACCCAATCACACTTGATGGGGAAACTCTGAAAGAGGTGAAAAATTTCATGTACCTGGACAGCATCATCGATGAATAAAGAGGATCTGTTTCAGACGTAAAAGCAATTATTGGCAAAGCAAGGGCAGCCCAGCACACAGTTGGTTGAAGAATTTTTATGGGCGTCTTATGCTTCCATGACAATTAACAGGCATAAGTCCTCTAATAACTAATCAGTGCTTTCCCTTACATATTGTGATGAAGAAAAACTTATATTTGGTGCTTAAGAGGTGACCATTGTCGACTAAACATTATAATGCTTCTCAACAAGCGTTCGATCCCTTTAAACGACTAGTCCATCATTTTTCACGGAAATACCGTTTTCTTTAAAGTCGTGTTAAAAAATTTATACCGAGGTTTTAGAGGTATATAAGAAAATCTAATCTACATTTTATTATGTAGTTGATTAAGGTGTATAAAATCAATGCAAACTAAGAATTTAATCATTAACAACTGAATTCCTATAAAGTAAGTGCATATACACTGATGAGAATTATTAAAAAAATACCTTCAAATATTTAGTGAAGAACGAAGAGAAAAACTTATGTTTTTCAATTTATATGAATAAATATAGGAACTCTTAAAGATCAATTTAAAATGAGATTTATTTAAACCACGCAAAACAAGCTAAGCTTAATTAGTTTACTATAGTTTGCTGATTATAGTTAGTAATTTTACTGATGTACACTTTTAATTTATTTAGTACTTATCATCTGAACGTACCTACTTGTATCCAAGTGTTTAAATGTTCAAACTACGACTTGGACTTTGTATCTATTACTTCAAACACCAATGTGTTATTTACCAAAAGTTACTATATTACGATTGCCACATAGCTTATTCAGTGGACATTTGTTAGGATTTGTATTTTTCAATGGATGATGATCAAAATTATGTTGATCGCTCCATTTTTGGTAGATAAGCTTCTTTAAAGATTGTCTTAGTATAACGATTGATTATAAATTTCATTGTTAATGTTGGAGTGATCCGGAAAATTCCTCGAAAAAAGCCAGAAAAGGCTCTGAAAACGCTGAGAAACATCTTATCCAATGAGCATTCAATAGAAGCTTTGCCAAAAACATTTAGAGAGTGAAAAGTCACATGCCGCGTTTCTGAGTGAATGATTACCCATACTACTACAATGTTTAGTAGCGTTCCAGAAATTTCCGGAAGCTCGAAACCATCTAAAATACTATAAATACCCTAGATTTTCTATACATGGATGAACCTTGGAGTAAAGCATTTCTTCCATATTTCGCACCTTTGCTCTCGTGTTCAAATCGTTGTGTAGGTTTAGCCTTATGATTGCTAGAAGAGCTTAAAGGCCGAATCTAGCGTTCAATTAGAAGACTTATTAGTTGACCATTATTCTAATGTATAATGCACTTGTAATTATCGACAGTAGTGAGTCATTTGCTTAAGCCCAACCCAATATTTGGTAAATAAACTGGTTGGATTTACAGTTCAGAATAATAACAATTGAAAAATACAGCCCCTTGGGAATTACAAAAAACAATAAAAGTGTTTCGAGTTATGAATTCAACTGATTCTCCATATAGTGAGTAAATATAAAAACGAGTGTGCACAACACCATAAATTCACAGGTTCAGAAGTTAACCGACCAATATGAGGTACCACTTATGCGGTAAAGCATGTCTAGGAAGTTTGCATAGAAGTCAGTAAACTGAAGAAATAGTGCCATTCATAGCTTTTACTGAAAATTAAGCTGAGATGGTATTGTCCAGAATGACAGTAGTGGGAGTTTTGTAATTAAAACTACTCAGCTTAGAAAGTAGAAGACAAGATCAGATGGATTATAGTAATAGGCAATAAAAAGTTGTATGCCATATTCATAATGTATATCTGTTATAACATGTTGTTATAGTTTTTCAGGTGAAAAGAAATATAGTAAATGTTTAAAAATGACCAATAGTGATGTGGTGAGAAAAACACAGGCCTTTTAAGCAATATGTTACGAAGTTTTAGTTTGGGGAACTGAGTGGTCAGTAATTAGTATAATGCCACTAGTAATCACATACTAAACGGAAATATTTACTGGCATAGGAATATATAAGAAGAAAGCCAGGGGATCAAAACAAAACAGGGCATTAGGCCACAAAGACACTGGCTTTTAGATTGAACCATGTAGATGGGTGAGACTACCTGGTCGAGGTCCGAGTGATTGCCGTAGCCAAAGGTTAAAGACTTGAGATGGCATGACTCAAAATCATTCACAATGACGCAAATGCATTTACTTGTCTTTCCTTAGGTACTAAGTTTGTACGTCAGCTTATAAAATTTTATTTTGTTCTACTGACTCATATTTTCTTCTCAAATATTATCTTGGAATTCAAGTCTTTTCAATTACCACAATACCGTTATTACCTCTACTAATCTGGGATTTGGCCTGACAATTTCATATCACTGTGCCAATGAGCTGTGGCAACTTGAACCGATGTACACACCTTCCAGGTTCTAGGTTGCATATGACTAACTAACTGACTGACTGGTCAGACAGTTATCCAGTAACCTATGGTTTTCATCGGATGTCTAGGTAAAACGACATCGATATTACAAATAACCTAAAATAAATTCAATGAATTTCGATGAAGGTCACATCACCTACCATTAAAGCACCATGTACACCATTTCCGCATAAGTCACTAGCATATTCAGGTAATTCGATGCTTTGTAACCAATTTATTACTCGTTGCTGAGTCCAATAACAAATTTGTATTGGTAAATATGTTGAACAAATAAAATTATTATCAGAATTCATGGAATCTGGTTGTAAAGTAGAAATAGTATTCAAGCAAGATGTATGCACATCATTTCCATTATTTCCATTAGTAGGTTTTATATTATCTGGAATATGATTTAACGATTGAATGGGAGAATGTAACATATTTCTTTTACAAGGTATATTTGCTTCACCTGTATTAATAAAACCAAGTAAGAAATAACAATCTTAAGAATAATTCAACATAAAATAACAAACTATAAATACTATCAGTTTAGTTTTAAAGGATATGTACAAAGTGTTGAGTACCATGAAGTCAGCAACCTATATATATATATATATATATATATATATATATATATATATATATATAAAACTTATTTTCTTATAGTATCAATCATTCGACCAATCAACCAGTCACAAGAATCTCCACAACCCTATACTGATAATAACACTGGAAATACCATGAGTATGTATTGGTTTAAGTTTTCACATGTTATAGCAGTATGGTCAGAGAGAAAATTCACGAAATGAAAATCGATGAGAAATTGAAATCGAACTGGGGACGATAGCAATATACACTGAAGTACAAAGTTAGATAAGACAAGCACTGTTCACAATGAAAAGAGGATGAAGCTAGTAAAACGGTATTAAACATTATCATAACATATTTTAGGCATTGTTAGCTTTGAAATTCATACAAATATTCTGGTCTAATATATAGGTATCGTTATAATGTGTTAGACATGGCAGCAGGTCAACAGTAAAACGGAAGTGTCAAAAAGAACTACTGTATATTATCTTCCCATACGAGACGAGTATGCATCCAGAAACTGTACTAAGGATTGAATATATGGTTTTCAGGATTTAAGAAGGGGACAGCACAGTTTTGCTTTTGAAACAATAATTGTGAGATGAAGAATATTTATGGTTGAGGGTGAGAATTCGGGAAGTGTTGGTTACTTTGATTTGGGTACTTCAGTATTGTCTTTCTAGACAATATGATTACGTTCAATGATTAAGTTAGTAATATTATTTACTAAATAATTAGTTGAGAATGTCGGGTAACGAAAAAAAAACTGAACAGAGAGAGAGAGAGAAACTCACATACGTTGTACAAATTTTTCGAAAGATATAATCTATGGTCTCTAGACTAATAAAATCTGTTGGTTGAAGAATAGTACTGAATATCGGAAAAATATGTACTGATAAAATAAGTCTATTGAAAAAGATGATTATATTATTAATACTTCACTTACATTGTTCCATTTGACTTCGGCATAAACGATTTCTATCAAAATTGATATGTCTTAACATTTGTAATCCCCATCGTAAACTTAACATATGTAATTCATTAGACATTTTCAGCACAGATAAATCATCCTGAAATCATAGGGAGAAAAGTGTTAACAAACTATCATTTACGTAATTTTTATCAAGGATTAAGACTAGTTAGGGTACAAAGTTGAGAACCAGGATTTCTTACTAGTGTGTACTCGTGAGCTCGAAAGGGATAGGACCTAGAGCCTTTGGGTTTCACGGAAAGGAAGTGACATTTAAACCACTGAGATGAATTCAGAAGAAAATCCGTTAAATAAAATTTCTGTTTGTTTGTGTATACCAAGGTATGGTGGTAGACACGGTGATTATAGACATATCTGATGCCTGTGTTCACAATTCATCTCAAAATCAGATGATAGGTGAGAAGTTATGCTCTGAGTATAATATTGGAGGTAGTTGACTAAGCACCTCGTCAAGCCTTCAGATTACATTTCCTTGTTTGAATCAGAAGGACAATCGTATATATCTACCTATGATTTATGTGCAACAGAACTTAAATCGTTAGTTTTAGCAGCCTAGCATTTTTCTCAATCTATACATTTGTATTACTGGATGGTTAAGCGTAAAGGAAGTGTATGTATCTGAAATTGACGTCGTGAATTGTAAGTCGTTCGCATACATGCATATAGTCAAAGGGAAAAATAATAATATACATTTAATGTTAGACATACCATAGTAAGTTGATCTAGCACATAAGGGTCAATGATGCAATTATCGAATTGTGGAATATAAGATGATAAACCCACATCATGTAACCAACCTATATACAGTAAAAAACACAACGAAAAGAAGTATTTTTATTGACTGGAATTAATAGAATTTATGGTTGGACTATTATTTATTTACAAACAAATCAGAGGCTTTTAAAATTTCACGCGAAACCCATTTATATATATGGCTACAGAACATTTTTGAATCACAGAGGATGTCGGTTCCTGATAAAAATCCTAACCCTGATTCTTAATTCTAACCACTAATCTTAATTCTTAACCCTGTTTTAAACCTTTTAGGCGGTCGAGATTTCGTAAGGTCACTTTGAGAATCTCTCAAGATCATCCATAAAATATAGTCTCTTCAATTTCACATCATTAATGATTCATATTTTTGATTACACTTTACTCTTGACATTCAGTGACTCTGAGAGTGATCTCAAAGTAACACTAGCTTTTAGACAATCGAAATACAGATTATATAAATAAGTAATCCCTTACATACAAGCTTGAAAAAGGTTAGAGTAACCACTAGCAGTTAGGGTTGAGATTTCAAGTTGATGATGAAGTACAAAATGGCTTACTAGACGTTTGGATTAAAAAATCTACAGTCAGCCCTACAATTTAAGACATTGAGAACTTTAAGTTACATTCAAATTCCCATAAACCAGGATACTTATAATTCAGTCTTTACATGTTTAGCAGTTTTAAGCATTTTTGTAATGAAATATAACTAGTTTTGATTTAGCTTTTAATAAAATATTCGCTATACACAATTAGATTTTTAATTTTTCGCAAAATTCCAATAGTCTCTATCTTGAATCTGATTGGTCCATCAGAGCAAATACTTCAACTAATGTATATTTAAACTAAAATCGGAATTTTCACTTCATTAAAACAAAGATAATAATTGATTTTAACTAAACAAAAAAAAACACTAAGTTTTTTTTATTTTAAACAGTTGTGTGTGAACTAATTAGTGTGGGATAATGTACAGGAAAAGTAAAAATCGAAAGGTACTGATCCAGTAGGACTGACATATTGACTATTTGGTAGTTAATAGTTATTGTTCATTCCGTCATTTTGTAACAACGTTTGGGAAATTATTCGAATGTTAAATGCTGCTCAATATATAAGATTGTTATTTAGTGTTGAGAGTTTTGTTAATTCATCAGAAAGTGGATTTCAATGTACTGACATTGACCTGAATATAAGGGCGATTACATATGATTTTTCTAAATTCTTCAACAGACTAAATATATACTAAACTATTTGAAAAGAAGATTTAAAAAATTACCACTATTTATGTTATTTAGTTAGATGTGATCTGGAGGAAATTCCGAATCTAGTTTTTGGATGGTTAAAACACATCCGAAAATAGTGGGTCCAGTTCTGAGGTAATGGATGTTACCAATAGGTTACCAGTTTCACAAACTGAAGGGCTACCATTGAGTTATTCAGGTCGGGACAGACTAACATAGGATTAATTACTACTCAGTGATCAATCACTGCAAATACTTTTGATTTACAGGAGGCCAATTGCGTCCCATATAGTTCAGTGATAGTATCTCAATCTGTAAAGCTGGCTCGCACTACTATCTGCATCCCGCGAAAAACATTAGTTCCTTTAAAACTATAGGCATGTTTTTCTAACGAGTACTAATTAGTATGAAAACTGAGTGGGGTTTCTCTATCGAATATTTTCAATTACCTAACAGCAGAACTTTTGAAACCCTTATTTGGAACTGTGTTAGTTAACAAACGTAAAATAATTTCACTACCACTAGGGCAGATTTAGCAGATGATCAAAAATAACGTACTTTGAATATAAAATGATAAAATATTAAAATTACACTGACGAAAATAATGAAAATACTATTCACAAACTAAATATATCATAGATAAGTCCCATACAAAACTAATAATGATAATTACCCGGTATGTCGAAATTTTCCGGTGGTTCTATATTTCTATATAAACACCCATAATTGTAATTATTATTAATATTATTACTAATATTAGGACACTGGTCTTTCATACATAAACGTATATGGATTAACAATTTCTTCAAATGTAACGGGTTACGTATACACATTAACTGAAAATCAATTGATAGGAAACAATTATTGAAAAAAGAAACGAAAAGAAAACGATAATATAGTAAGAATATTATGAAATTGCTAACTTTTGGGAAGGTTATTTGTTTATATCTTTACTACACAATTACTAGATAATTGGACTAGTGTACTCTTACATCAATCTAATTGTAAGCTTTCGCTTGACGCATAAATTGTTGTCCTACGTTTTATCTGATCAGTCCTCACTAGTAAGATATACCTCAACTACTTTAAGGCACCAACTTTGGTGGCTTCTCATGCCTTTATTGTCTGAGTGAATTCCAAATAGGACATTATTTGTCTACTATTGGACTGGGCATAAAACGTATAGTGGTAGCAAGTTTGTGACGTGGTACCATTGTATGAAAGTTAGATGTAGTAAGACAAGATCTGTTAGTTCATTCCGAATCCTTGTTTACAGTCCTAGAGATTATGCAACTTAGTAACTTCAGTGGTTATGAGATATACCTCAAAATAAAATCCATTTTGCGATTCTACTTTAATCTTCTTCATCCAGGCAAAACGAATGCCGTGACTGAAAGAAAACTCTGTTGTTTGGGTTTTAAACTGAGTTTTATTGATGATCATATCATATTACTGTTTATTCACATCCATTGATTATAATATATTTTTCATCTATTTATTCTTTCAAAATACCATTAGTTTATTTCTGCGGTGTATGATTTTTTTTAAATGTCATATTGTACCATAATTTTTGTATATTAGTTAAGTAAATAATGAATTTTTAACGATCAAGACAATTATAACATATTGGATACTGATCAAAGTTACAATCAATAATAAAAAAGTAATGTTCTGTTATGATATACTTATTACTCAATAATTTTGATTTTTACAAGTGTAAAGCAAAGAAAACAAAACAAATATAATGAAAATTATGAAATAAAATGAATGTATTTAGTATTGGTGTATTCCAACTTTGTTGTATACGCTTTGATTAACATTTATTAATCAGTTAATCAATTGAATGATGGTATTCAATTTATAGAATAATTATCTACTGGTTTATGGTATCTAAAGGATTATACTTTTATGAACATCTGTTAGAGATTAAGTAAATAAATAGATAAATAAATAAGAAAACGACGATTATCGAATTGGGATAAATAAACATGAAAAAAATAAATAATATTGTGAGTTATTTATTAAATTAAACACAATCTCTTTTAAAATATGGTACCATGATAAGTTATAGAAATAAGATAGCTAGGTGATGAAGGTTTGATTCCTATGGGGAAAACTAGTCCCCTAAGAATCGAAGAGACGTCTACATGTTGGACAGTAATTAGCATGAAGGTATATTGCCAACTACATCTAATCAACTAACACATTAAAATAAAGCAAGTTATATTAAATCACTCAAATAGGTGACCACATTGTAACTTGGTGGATAGAATCCGGTCACCGATAAAATACTAGACAAAAATGACAATAACTAATAATCGCCGATCAATCGATAGCGAAAATAACAAGAACAAATAGTTATAGTTATAGCAGTATTAGTTTTAAAAATAACTAGTATTATTTTTTGTCTAGTTTATAGTACTGATCAAATTTAAACGATCGGATTTGTAATGCTACTACTCGGCTCCATAGCTTAATATCGTGGTATATTATATTTTGTTGCTATGTAGTTAAGCAACTTAATGTAAAAACTTTATAGGTCAGCTAATAATGTATGTAAATCAGTCGTGAGAATGATAAATCGTGTTCGGTATAGCTTATTTGTTAAATTCTTAAACTATGGTACATGAGATACAATAAGTTTTATTCATTTACTGAACTTTACCTTTCTTATGAATGTATACAAATAATGCTGTTTAAATGTTAATTAGCATACTGAAAAGGTTAGGAAATAGTGCAAAAAGTATCACCATATGTTTGTTTATTCTTATTACTAACCTACCTAAGTTAAGAACTCATAGAAAACTAGGAATTATTCAACAGATATTTCATCTTAGTACAGTGCTCATTCACGACCTCACCAGGTAAAGATAATCTTGCATATTCTCTATGAATAAAAGACATTGTCTTATAAAGTTATTTATGAAATATGTACAATGCAAATTGAATAATTGCTTACTTGTGCAAGTGATTTTTTAGATTCATTTACTAAATCTTGACCAGAAGTTAACCATCTTCGTGTATGTGATACTGTATAACCTAGACCAATTTTATATAACCATGCTGAAATCATATTTTTATCCCAAGTGATAAAATTTCTAAAATAAAAAAAGAGAAAATTATAAATTAGATTAATTCACTTATTATTGAGTCAAAATAAGTCAATACATTAGTTAATCTACTGTATAATAATAAATACACATTATGATTGAATTAATTTAAAATCATAGATAAAGAATAGCATGATTATTATTTTGGTTATTTCGGCATCATTTTGTAGTGACGGTTATTATGTTAAAGTCATGTACTTTATTCTGGCTTTCAGACAGACCAATCTATTCATTCTACTTGAGTCAAATTTTGATCTTGTTGATTATTTACTTATCAATCTTGAATGTTTTTATATAAGCGCATATGTGTCCCCTTCTTATCCCATTCATCACATGTCTGTAACTTATTTTTGTGTGACCATAAATATTGATTGGAGTTGTCTTACTCTCCATCTCCACTGCGCGTCGTTTCGCTTCGCTCTATTCCATTCGCTGCATATACAAAATGTATGTATTCAGAAGTTCATTCTTGTTATTTGACTTATTTAATTTGGTTATTGACGAACGCGATTTAAGTCGATGATTATATACAAGGATAGGCGACATATATATATTTCATATGATCTACTTGGAGTCAGATCCACGGGCCACAAAAATTTAACTAAACATACTGATATTAATCAGTTTAAATGTCTTTGACCAAGATTTCATATTAATTAGATACTAGTAAGAAAAATAAGTTTGCAAATAAATCCACTCATTATCTAATTTATATATAACCGCAATTCTTCTATTTTAAAACTTGTAATAAAATGACTACATTAGGGAAATATTCACAGGATGAAACTATCCTGAATAAAAGTAGTTAAAAATTCAATCTTAGACATTAAAAAGAGAAAAATTCAAACCCTTTTTATTAATAATATAAACATGAATGTAGAACATGGTTGAAAACATGCATACTTAGTAATACAGTGGATAACATGTTCATTTTTTGAAGTGAAATGTATCAACTCTGGAATATAGACACATCCAGATAACGTACCTTTAACGAGAAGAAATGCTCGTTCTAGATCTCAATGCTATTCAAAAATCATCTATTCTAGAAAAGTTTTATCATTATGCTTCACTAAAATATCATGTTTTCTTACCGATATTTGTGAAATCATTTTGTTTTTAGAAAAAAAAAAACAACCATAAATTAAAACAAAAGAAATTTTGATAAAAGAATCAATGTAAAACAAATGAGATGATTATTTTTTTTATTCTAAGGAGATAATAAAATGTTATTTCATAATCAGAAAAAATATGCAAATTAGAATCCCCAATTTTTGTTAGTTCTACATAGTTGTTTGTAAACTACTTTAACATACAACTTATCGGTTTTAAGCTTTTAGATTGTTTGATAGCCACTAGTGATAACAAACCAATTATTCAAAATGAATAAGGGGTGATATAAACTTCAAAAATTCACTTATTGGTTATAAAACTAGATGCTTTTTAATGATTAATAGCTTTTATCAAATACTCAGTGTTACAAGTTCTCTTATTACGACCCAGCTATTTATAATGATTCATATTCTCAACAAGTCCGCAAATCAGAACACGGTTGAACAAGAACGTAATTGTATTCCAAATAACAAGGGTGGATGGAAGTAGAAATCACAATAATAAGATTCTAGAGTCTTCTCCAAATATCCGCTAGTGTTGATCGGTTAAAAAATAGCTAGAGTGCCCCAATACAATCCTGCACAAAACATGCTTGAATCCAATCTATAATCTGCTAACACCTCTTTGAACAGATTCGTAGGATCTGTTGTTAGCGTCCACTTACAACCGCATTACTAACTTGTTTTTAATTTGTCCACCTTCTAGGCAATAAAGGAGTGGTATTGCTCAGTATAGGCGGCCTTTGAGCATACGTACCACACGTCCAAACCACCTCACTGATCAATTCTCCATCTTTACCTAGTATTTTATTCCTAACCCAGACATTGCTTACTCCGCGGTCCCAAAATACATGAGGAAAGCTTGGTAGGCACCTATGATCGAATACCAGTAAACTAAGAATATCCTCTACTCTTAATGGTCATGTTTCACATCCATAAAGTAGAACAGAGCAAACTGCTGCTCAGTAAACTCGTCCCTTGGTTGGAAGATAGATATCTCGCCTACACTATAAATGACACAAGTTGGCGAAAGCCATTCGAGCCTTCCAAATCTGTGCCGAGATTTTGTCAGATATCAGAGCACTAGTATTGATGAGAATCTTAAGATAAAGAAAACGGTCGACGCATTCACCTACTTTACTCCCTATCATTAATTTAAGTGATAACACAGGCCAATCCTGAACTAAAATTTTATACTTGAAGGGAGAGAACTAAATTTCAAACATGCTTTCATTGTTGCTTAAGGTGGTCAGATGACTCTGCATTTTGTCAGCATCCTCACCAAGAAGAATTATATCATCAAGATATCTTAAGTCCGTATTTGAATCTCATGGTAGATCAACTCCTGAAAAGTTAGACGATGAAAGTGTTATCTTTAAAAGTATGTCTATGACAAAGTTAAATAAAAATGGAAAGAGCTAACAACCTAGTGAACACCTCATGAAGTAACCGATTCTAACGACGGTTTGCCATAAGCTCTGACTCGACCAGAGATGTTTAATTAGAGTCTGTACATACTTTATTTGGTAGGTTTTTCGATTAAAGACACTTCCAAAGAACCTTATGATCAACAGAGTCGAGCGCTGCCTTAAGGTCAAGGAATGTAACAGTTGTCGGACGTCGAACATTATTGTCTATGTTCAAGAACTTGTCGAAGGGTGAATATTTGGTCTACATATCCACGTTCAGGTCTGAAACCGGCTCTGTTTTCTCGAGTCTTTTCTTCATAAGCTCAAGTTAGACATCGAAGTATTCTTGAGGCTGATATTATAGACACCATATTAGTTTCACTGATTCCTCTGTGATTATTACCGAGAAAGATATAACCATGTCGTGCTAGACATATCATAATTGGAGAGATTTTAAAAAAAAGCTACTTATTAAAATGTCTAATTTAGTGAAATATGATCTACGTTGTTACTGACCGACTGACTGACTGAAGGTTCGATAATTAGAGCTTTAATACTGTACTGAAAATTAATCTGCATTGATTAAGTTGGGTAATCTGGTAGTCAATAAATCACTAATAGTATTCCCCTGTTTAATATGGATTAATTCTTGAAATTATTGTTGCTCGATAGAAACAGAATCTCCCTGAATACAACACCAACCAGTTAAGTACATACACACAGCAGATGAGTAACATACCTACATGCTATTCAACAGTAAACACTGAAATTATTAGCACAAAAGCAATGCTTAGCGCTTTGGATCTGATGCAGATGTGAAGGCGCCGATCCACTAGGCAAGAGCAGCATATTTACAACTGAAGAACATCTGAAACTCAAAACAATTGGCAACCAACACCAAAGTCAGAACTTTCAATACAAATGCCAAGACAGTTCTACTGTATGGGGCCAAAACCTGGAGTACTACGAAAGCCATCATCCAGAAGATACAGGTGTTTATTAACAGTTGTCTACGCAAAATACTTCAGATCCGTTGGCCAGACACTATCAACAACAACCTACTGTGGGAGAGAACAAACCAGATCCCAGCGGAGGAAGAAATCAGAAAGAAGCGCTGGAAATGGATAGGACACACATTGAGGAAAGCACCCAACTGTATCACAAAGCAAGCCCTCACATGGAATCCTCAAGGCCAAAGGAAAAGAGGAAGACCAAAGAACACATTATGCCGGGAAACAGAGATAGGCATGAGACAAATGAACAAGAATTAAATGGAACTAGAAAAGAAGGCCCAGGATAGAGTGGGTTGGAGAATGCTGGTCGGCGGCCTATACTCCATTAAGAGTAGTAGGCGTAAGTAAGTAAATGCTTAGAGCTTATAACAGTAAACAGAACACAAAAACATTAAATAATATCGTAAATTATATGCATTACAGCGTGCTTATTTACTTTAACTTAATAAGTAGAGGAAAAATGCAAATACATTTGTATTCGAATCATTCATATATATATTCAGTATAATGATAACTGTACGGAAAAAAAAGTAAAACATACGCACCGCTTAGTATAGGCGAATTGAAATGATTGACGTTGTTCACTGGATGAATTAAGACCATTATGAGATGAAGGGGATTTGTTACTGTTAAACAAAAAATAGCATTGTATGAACATGCAATATTTATACGTGTCATATAGATGGATATACATGCAGTTGAACATGAAAGTACTAAATACATTCATTAACGAAAAAAGAACAGTACGAATAACCTGGCACACCAAAATCAAAATACTTATGTATGTGCCTACTTATTTTGATAACAACAGATACATAGTGTAAGGTATATTATATTCTTTATTAGGTTGAAATATATTTTTACTTCCGATATGGTTGGACTTCATCAATCATATTTTCTCATTAGAACTCCAAAAATTATTCTAAAAGGTAGACACTCGTGACCATATTTCATTTACTAACTTTAAATTCTTGGAATGTCTATTTGGTAGATAAAAAGTAGACAAACATCGAACGATAAAAAACACTACGAAAGAGCGAATGTTTGATTGTTGTTCGTTGAGTACTGACTTACATATTATAAATAATGGGTAGCAACGGAATTCGGAATAGTTGTTTTATCTTATTTTTAGACTCAACAATTGGACTTGCCTGCCACATCCAAGTTTGGATGCTCACACTATGACAAGAAACCCAATATGTATAGCTTTAACGACCAATCTACTATTTCATACGCTACATAGACTGATCGGATTTACTCATAAATATTAGTAATGGGATAATATAATGCATTATAAATAATGGTGACGATTATTTCGTTACAAAATTGCTTCGCTGTGAACAGGGATTTCTTATCATTCAGTTTATAAACAGAAATGAAACTGTCGTACTAACAGTCCTATGTTCATCATATTTTGATTATGAAGTAATCATTACAACTATTCTTCATATTTAACAATGGCTAATTTTCATAATCATCTATCTTTGACAGATGGAATTCAAAGTGAGGTCATTAATCAGTGTAAAGATCACAATGTTTTTTGGAACTTGAGAATACCATCTATTTTAAGTGGTGAAGTAAAGATCCAATGATACATATAGAATTTTCAGTGACTAGGCTATGAATCTTAGTAAATTGAGAATGTTGAGGCATATGCTAAGTATGCGTGACGACAGCTTATCTTGAAGAACAAGGTTGAGTGGGTAGAAGATTGAAAGAATATTAAAGGCAAAAATCAAGGTGAAATATCAACCAGTGAAGTTATCGACTATTGAACCGGACAATTTCGGTAGGTTCAGACTACCTAGATGGGGTCTTCGTGATTTTCGTAAACAATAGTTGGAGCTTTAGGGTAACATTTTTTGGAATCGGTCAAAGTGTCGTGGATACATACTGAGTTCCAGCATTCTTTCGTACATATATTATCATTTCTTATTCTACACACATCTATGTCATTCTTCAAGTTTATCACGGCTAGCTGATAGCTTGCTTGAAAAACAGAAAATAATCACCAATATCACATTCAATGCGTTTGAAATACTAATAATCTTCATCATGATTTAAATAAGTCCTTAGCATTGTGTCTCAAATAACAAATGTTTTAACTAACTATAGTAATTCGTTTTATAATAAGTATGTAACACAATACAATGAAGAGAATAATTATTCCTATTACAGAGAGTACTGAAGTTTCATACTGTTTTCTGAAGTAAAACCAATAATCACTGTTTTTTATCCTACGTCGTTTGATAACGTTTATCTACCGTTGAATCAAAAAGCCTTATGCAATTAATCGCTTTATTATTAAGATGAATAATGACGATTTCATTACCAAAGTTCATAGCTATTCATTTATAACTTTGAATATTTTATTCTGAGGTCAAAATTAATGAATGCTCATTATAATTTAAGGCAAAGAATGGTTTACTATGGTGCTATATTTTAGAATGCTGATTAACCTAGGTTAGGAAACTGTAGAAACCGAGGAAGAACTACACAGAAGCTTCGTCTGAGTGTGTAACTCCACAGCAATTTTCATCACTGTCACCATCAGGTGTCACGGCAAGCACTTGACCTTTAGAACACTGAATCAGCATCTAATAGTTTACATTTCTAACTTCAGCCAATTCGGGATATTGTCCAACCATCTAATTCCGTTGGTAGGTTCGTAGGGTAAACTACGAAATTCAGTAATCTTCACAAACGCTTAAACTAGTAATTCTTTAAGCGACACGTTATTCTATACGATCATGAATTTTAGTGGTACATATATTAAAAACACATATTCACATATTTACACTTCCTCACGTACTCACACGTTGTCCAGATATGACGACATAAACTCATTCGATTCATAACGTACAGAAGATGAGACAGATTGAATGTTTCTATAACTATCAAATGAATGAGGTTCATTTTTCACATGATTATTACACGATTTATTATTACTTAGTACAGACATATTTCTGTTCAATGGACCATTTTCATTGGATTCAATGGCACTTCCCTGATAATTTTGTTGTGATTTATTATTGCAAATTGAATTGGTATGTAGAACTGAAGGTGGTGAAGAATTGTAGACAGGATTAGCAGAAACATCATCAACATGATTATTATTACTGTTGCTCATAGAAGGAAGAGTAGTTTCTTGTGTTTTTCTACGCGATCTGTTAGTAGAACCTTTCAGTGAACCACTACCATAATAACGTTCCATACTTTTAGACCTTATATATAGTGCAGAATTGATTAAACTGTTTTTTGGTTTACATTGATGATGATGCATGGAATTCGATTTATTCAAACCATTTGATGTGAAGTTATTCATTTGACCTTGTGAAAGCCAATGAAAGCTGAATGAAGTGTTGGAGACATATATTTATATAATATGCACTTATAATATGTTTATGAATAAATAGAATATTTGTTTAACACACACAAATACAAAATGAAGCAATTATATTTATACATCAATTGATATATCATTTATTCGTTTATCGGTAATCAAATTTTATTATTAGAATCACTAGACCAAACTGAATGTACATTATGATGTACTTCATTTAATAAGTGCTGATTTAAAAGTGATCAAAAGGGACTCCAGCTTAGGGATTCATCATTAACAAGGTAAACTTGCAGACAAAGTCACCACATTATCTAATCACATAGATTAGTAGCTATATATTGCAATTTAGAAATTGTACTCTATCAGAACAATTAATGAAACAAATATATTTTAATTATTGAATTCATGAGTTAGTTGAAGCTAGACCACCATGAGAAACCTGAAAGTACTGAACGGCCGTTTCGTCCTAGTATGGGAATCCTCAGCAGTAAGCATCCACGATCCCGCCCCGCGAAATTCAAACCCAGGACCTATCAGTCTCGCTTAACCATTAGACCACTGAGCCGATATCTAACGGATCAGTTGTGAGATAGTAAATCACTGATGACAATGGTGGACGGTGGCGCAACTTCGTGGATCGCTTGAAGTTAGAAATGAACACAACAATGAAATTACTATAAAATCCACAAAACCTCTCTCTGATTAAAATATAATATTGGTATATTACTTGGCGATTAATTAATTAATTAGTAAATATCTTAATTCATTAAGAGGTTAATTGTAACCACAATAGTTTATTGATAATATACCTAATTGTAATGCTAAATGTCATTGATTCAAGTTCATAATCACTTCGTATCGACTTGAGTTCAACATTTTTAGTCAAATATAGAAGTGATAATACATAAATGGCAAAAATAAGATTAATGTAGGTAAACTGAATATATATATATATATATATATATGAAATTTTAATCAAATGGTATTAGATACTTTGAATCCAAACATAAATGTAAATATCCATGCACAATTAAAATGAAAATATTTTATCTAATGAATGATGCTTTTCAGGCTAAATAGAAGTGTATACATTGAAATTGGCATGCTATAATCACATAAAAATCCAGTGAAGCAATTATTATAAATCATATGACTATATATATATGATAAAAATATAAAATTAGTTACCCATGTCATTTTAGTTTTTTTTTGTTGTTGTTAAGAGCTTGAACTTATAGAAGCTAGACAAACGCTGGAGACCTGAGAGCATTGGACGGCTGTTTTATCTTAGTGTGAAACATCTTACCAGTACTCACTCACGATCCCAAAATCAAGAATGGAATTTTAAGCTTTCGATCTCGTGTTCAAACGTCTAATCAACAGAGAATTAAGCTAGGATTAAATGGTGCACAAACTTAACTTTAGTCAATCAGCGATACTGGATCCCGGTTCAGTGGTCTGAAGGTTAAACGTCCTCACTTGAGACAGAATGTCCTGAGGTCGATTCCCAGTGGTAAGAATATTTTGTATTTACATCAAAAATGGTAAGCTGCGCTACACGAATACATTCATGGTAAACAGATATGGATAACGTCAGAGACTTAAAATGAAAACTTAATGAAATTTAGACTTTAATGTTCAATATTCATTCACTCAATGGACAGAAAATGGTGGGGATTGATAAAATATAACCTACGCAGCTAAAGGATTTTGATATACAGCAGGGTCTGGAAAACAATGAATTTGATTAATGGTAGTATTTGACCTATTATTGTTTTACCATAAGCTATCACTTCAAGTTAACTTGATAACCGGTTCATTAACAAACAAAAAGAAAATCTACTTAATTACCACTCAAATAATTTTGAAATGTTGTTCGAAATCTATCGGTACATTAGTAATATTAGTTTTTGAATTTAGCTCAATAACTGCAGAATAAAAAAGCACAGGGCGGATTGTTTGCCTTTGTACGAAGATCTGATGGTGTACACACCAAAGATCAAAGCAGAATTCGAACTTGGAAGTGGTTGTTTAGTTCAAGTTAGTCCATGATTATAAAACCGGTTAGTTACACAATTTCTATAAACCACTTATAACAATAATAAATAATTCTAAATAATTCACGTCATGGTTTCAGGTAAAATGACCAGAGAGATAAATCACTTTTAAGTATCAGTTGATAGAATACAGAGGGATTTTCACCATGCTTAGTGACTGTTATTCGGAAATGAATTGATTTGTTAGTAACTGCAAACAATCTCGACTAAACAAGATAATAAACATATGTACTATTGACTGTACGGTTGAATTAACCTATAAAACGTTTGTATATCAGCTCAATGAGAAAATAAATACTCCTATAAAGATTGTATTATTTTTGGCTAATGTAATAAGAAAACTCCACTTTATAGGAATGATAAAATCATTTATGTTGATGTCTAGATCAGATCCGAAATTAATCTACAGTTTCCGTATAGTAAAAAAGCTGCATATTACTTATGCAATCATAGAGTGTTTAGAAAAGAAACAACAAATCTTTTGGTTAGATTTCACATAAATAAGAGATGATTTGTACCAAATATTGGATAACTTTGTCCAGGTTTGTCCATTGACAATATTTTTGAAGAAAAGACAAAAATAGGTAAATGGGTAAAAATGTCATTCCAGTGATAGATAAAGTAAACACCAATATATTTAAAGTACAAAGTTTGTAAAATTAGTTCCATTGATAAGTTTTCATAGAGTAAGAACAAAAAATATTGAACAATGAAGTGAAATCATTTTGTTTGCTTCAATTATTCCCTATTCAACCAAGTTTAATTTGAGTGAATGAAATAAACAAGCGAGACAATGACAGATTATAAAATGGTCAAATACAAGGGACATGTGTAAATTATGATGATTACAGTGGATTAATTGGTAACATTGATAACAACTGTCAAGAACCTTTAGTATTTATAACTGCTGATAATACACATAGTTAAAGATGGCATGAAAAAGAAAAGTAATTTGTAGTAAACGAGAACACAAGTGGGGACAATCGAATGTATTTGAACACAAAATTACAGAATCGCTTAGTAAAATCTGAGAATCATACAGTAAATACTTCATTTGCAAAATGTCAAGCATCTGTCTCGTACTTCATTGTTCCTACGTTTCCACACAAGTTATTCTCTATTCTCCTTCTCTTTTCTTCGATCTTCTCAACCTTCTGCCACCAGGTATTTCACTTTCGACTGATGATACATACTACTTATATCTATATATATCAGTAGCACACACCACAATTACTTGAGAAGATTACATTAATATGATGTCGAACATTTTATTAAAATAATGTTCAGAACAATAAGACGAGTTATAACGACCATAACCATAAAATTAGAAATTAACTAAGTGTGATTAAATAAAGTTGCTAGATAGAATGAAAAATGACTATAGACATGTAACACACAAACTTGCATCTATGAAAGATTCTGTTCATTTACACAGTCAATTGTGCATTTAAAAGATATAGTGCACAAAAATATTGTCTATTAATTTGTATTTGATTGTAATTCAGTAATTTAACCACTTAAAAAACTTGGAGACTGGTACGAATGCTATGTTCAAAAAACACGTAAACAGACATAAAGAGGGTTATATATAGGCAGAAAGATAATAAAAGCAGAAATCTTCCGATAACTAGATTTGTCATAAAATGACGAAATATATCCGTACATTTTCTTGCTTAAAGCATATATTCTATGATAATAAAAATCCCCCGCAATCTATATCAACCAACTGTAAATATCTCAATCCTACAGGAAGTCAATCACAACCCGAAGACTTCAGGGGTAACGTCACAGACAGTTTAGATGAGTGACTTAGGTTTCAGTACCCTAAGGAGCATCGGTTCCCACAAAATTACAAGAATAACTCGCTGAAAAGTGTAAAGTAGCAATAGATCTAGTTTCAGAGTTTCCTACAGCGTGTCACTAACCATCTAAAATAAGATTACATGCATATGCCAGTTTATAAACGACATGTCATGACTTGAATATTTATGAGAAGTCAAAGGGAATTAATTTTTGACAAGAACTAGAATCATTTAAAGTCATGAAGTTTGAACTTCTGTTTATGCCTTAGTTTGAAATGTCTGAGAGACGCACTTAGAAATTACAAAATAAATCACTCGTGAAAATTTAACCAGTGTCCAGTATGATCGATAATAAGTAGCTTCTATCAGTAAAACTTTAGAAAACATATAACAAACAGTATCGAGTAATGTGACTAGTTAAAACCTGCTTAAAATACTCAAACAATATACATTAAATTTATACGAATATTCGTCAAGATTAGAACGAATAGTTTGACAGATATTGAGCGCCGAGTTTAGAGAAGTCATTATATATGTAAATTATATTTGAAATAATCTCAGCGATTACTTAAATTTCAATCGCTGAGATTATTTCAAATATAATTTACATATATAATGAATATACATTAAAGATTTTGATATATACTCCATATTTATCTGTATTGTGATGAAACAGGTATTCAGGTTGCCGAACGAAAAATTGAAAGTGGAATAGAATATTCCAAACCATAAGATAAAACCAGGTTAATATTGATAACTACAGTAGTAGTTATTGTTTCAAGAAGATTCTTGAAGTCTACAGACAAAATCGGTCAAAATTTTTCATCTATTCTGTACTTGAAAAAAATATTCAATAATTTGGAACTTCATACGCATAAGACAAACAGTTTACTGTGGCATGGATACTAAAATAAGGAAAACCACCAAATGACAAATACACATTCATGAGAAACTAATAAATGACCTAGTAACAGAATATAAATAGATTTGTTCAGATCGACCTTGTTAATCTTCATTATAATGCAACTAATCGTATGAAGGCATAAATAGATTCTTTATTTAACCTACTTCAATCGAGTGTCCTAAAGCCAACTTTTTAGTTAATGATGCTATTAACCAAGTGAAAACAACATTTCTCGGTTTTAAAGTCAGATTTTTATAGAACTGGCGATATCCATAGGTAAGTACATGGCTTATCTACTTGATATACAAAATGTAATAAAATACGCTGTTAAAAACAAGGAAAATCGTCAAGAAAGCCAGGAAATATTGAGGAAAATATATAGAGGTCATAGAATAAAGAAAATAGTTTTGTGTTGTTGAAATGTTCCAGAGGGATCAGTAAAAAATGATTATTGACGCCTGGTGTTTATGAACATAGCAAAAGTATGAGGCCTCCTTATGGTTTCTAATGGTCTACTCACTGTTTAAATGATTGGTGATAAATTGAATTTTAAAAAAGTCATCCATATTTACACCATGTTTACAAAATCTAAATTGACTAAACAGTTCAAAAACCTGACTTCTAAGAATCTCAACGAACATTTTAAACAATAAAGGGTAGGATATGATGAGTATACTACTACAAATGTAAAATAATTTAAAGATAGCAAGATTGGCATAGCCTGCTGATTCCAAAATAAGGTTTTTATGGTATATATATACATATATATATGAAGTAAATTTATTAAAAATGGGAGACTAAATTATTTAATTATCGGATAAATTGACATGTGTTGTAAGAATATGTATGTATACACGAATTCGATGAGGTTAATTGTAAAATTCACTAACATAATGACAGATACAATAATAATAGTAAATAAGGAACAAAAGGACTTTAAATTATTAAGTTCCGGACTAATAAAAATGGGAAAATTTGTCAGTTACAAAGCATAGGATGGGAAAATAATTAATAATAACAGAAATTAATAAACGGTAAAGTAAGTTAAGGAGTTCGATTACGAAAATATGATTAGGATTTACGAAGCTCATCAATAAAAAGTTTATTTACTAGTGGTTATTTCTAAAAAACAGTCGCCGGATTTCTAGTGAGAAGTCGTGATCAATAAAGTCCAACAATGCCTAGTGTGAGTCATTTACTAACGACGTTCAAAGTTTGTTGTACAGTATCGCAATTTGATTGAAATTAGAAATGTAAACTGTCGAGCCTCGCCGCAGTGATATAGATTCTGAACGCTCATCACGAGGTGTGAAGGTGTTGGGATCGGTCACTGGCGGGTTTGTAGATACACGCTACCGAATAATCCCGTATTAGAATGAAAAGACTGCCTAGCGCCTGCTAATTTTCAACTACAGTATGTATTGTCAAATTTGTATCCTATTTAGTTCTAATATTTGTGGTGATTTGACATATAAGTGTGTACTAATCTGATTACTACGTACGTAAAACAAGTGATAGATAGTTATTATTCTGAAAACCACTAATTAAATTACTAAATAGTACCAAATAATTAAACTGTGGTAATAAAACAATTAGTCAAACATTTAACCAATACGCTGATTGATATGTGATTAACTACCATCATTAAGGAGCATCGATTTCTTCATGCTCGAAAGTGTATCATGCTAATGGGAACCGACATTAAAACGACACATTGATCAAAGACAGTTGCTTAAAACGGTTTAACACATAAATTATGTAAATATCCATAAGGGCATGTATAATACGTAAATACAGCTTACAAAAATAATATCAGCGAGAGGAAAATTCTCATCGGTTAAAAACTGCTGTAGTGAACAAAAACACGAGTGGCGACAATCGAATGTATTTCAACACAAAATCACAGAACATCTTATTAAAATCTGAGAACCATACAGTAAATGCTTAATTTGCCAAATATTAATCAATTGTCTCAAGCTTGACTGTTTCTTTTGTAAATATCAATGAATCATCTTCGACTTCATTGTTCAAGCACTTTCATACAAATTGCTTTACGTTCCCGTTCTTTCCTTCTCGATTATCTACTAAAATACATTCTATTCCTGACTACCGTTATATACTACTTGTGCGGATATATGTAGCTCACACCACACTACAATTTTTTTTTAAAAACTATATTTATATTTTGCATTTTACTTTTAACCATAACTTTATTGTATATAAAAGTAAGACATACTGACTAGTTATTTTTTGTTTTCAAAATGCAAAATAATCCCATTTGATTTCCTGTTCCATGTTTAATGACCCATAATTATTAAATGTTTAAATAATTGAATTTTAACAACAACAAAAAATAAAAACAAAACATACTCAACTACATGTTATGACATAAAATTTACACAGATTGTTTCTGTGTGCATAAAATAAATAATCATTAAATATATATATATATATATATATATATACATGATCGAATCTCAATGTGATACAGATAGTGCAATAAGTATGAAATTGTGAAATAATCAATGATAGTGAATAGTAATAAAAATTAAATAAAACAAACAACAGTATTATAATGGAAAGAGAGAGAGAGAGAGATTTTCTCATTTGAATTGAATTTACTTACATCTAATGAAATGACTTTCATTAATAAAAACTATTTGAATCTAAATAGGACTGTGATTTTGCATTATCAATAATACTCATCAAAGTCAATTAATCGTAAGTAATATAAAGTATGCTAAATATGTGAATCTATAAGGAGATGAAATTATCATGACAAATACTGGAATAGTAGGAGTAATAGTAGATTCAATGACAATAGATAGATATAGTGAGAATAATTTAAGAAGAATGAGTCAATTTGTATAACAGAAGGTAAAAAATAATTTTGAAATTCAAGAACTAAGACAAAATAAAGAGTGAATGTATCTGTACCATTGTGACCAATACGGCGCCTTATCACACATTATCTACAACCATTATTTATGATGATATCGGAACCGAACCAAGTGGTCTTCACCCAGCTTAACAGTCAAGGAATTGATGGCTTAGTGCCTCGACTTAGTTTCGTTGCTTCCAAGTTACTCGCAACGTACTACCACTCCAACCGACACCAAACACCAAGATAGGCAGTAGTTGGTTGTACAGGATATATATTCTAACCACTTAGATTAATGTTTTGCTATCTTAAAAACGGATTATTTTCATGTTTACCTAGTGCTTCGAGTATAACTAATACTCAGGCAAAGCTAGAATCCAAGAATTTTAATCTTCCAAGTGAGCAGTTTGTTCATTACACTAGTTAACTATTACTAGTAATGGTTTACATTACTTAATTCAACTAGTTTTTGGTAGTGTGCTACTAGCATACATTGTCATCACTTATGACTGTCTTACATAGTCATTCTGAAAATCCACTGTCATCGACTTCTTACTAGAACTTCAGTTACTGATATGGTCATGGATGCTTACTGATGCAAAATCATGTAACAAGACGAAACACCTGTCGAATACTTCTTGATTTCCAATAGTTGTCGTAATAAAAATGGTTTGTGATGTACATATGACAGCGTTTTGTGTGCATAGGTGCATATATAGATACATATTTATTTAATCAGGTTTGTTGAAAATTCGCAAGAATTCTATTTGTGAACTTTTAGTGATATATATTTATAAACGTGTATTCATACGTACACACATATTACCAGTCAACACTTACACATCGATAAGACTTGGACTGGAAGGTATGGTAATACTTCGCCAACATTTACCATATCTACAGGAATAAATCAAATTAACATAGCAAAATACTGATATGTAAACAAAACACACAAAAAAAAACAATAAAATAAAATGAATAATTAACAATAATATGGATATTTATTAGTTCATTTTACTTACGCTCGTTCAATATTCAATCTCTTTAATTGATTTTTTCCACTATGAGTAGCTTTTGAAAGTGATGAACTTTTTTCATCTATACAATAAATGAGAAATCCGGAAATAAATATTAAAAAAAATAGAATAATCAGACATAAAAATTTCAACGTATAAACATCAACTGAAAAACAGCTAATTTTCGTTTTAAAAGAAATGGTTTTGACAACTATGTAGAATATAAAGAATTCAATTCTGTAGTTTTCAAGATCAGTGCTGAATGCAAATTCCAGTGAAAAATATCATTATTAATCTGAGACATTTAAAAAGATTTACAGAGACGCATATTTAACTGTAGTGTTGACCATTGTTGGACAAATATAGTCTTATGTCAATGAAAGACTTCAATTAGAAAATTATTACAAACCAGGAAGTACTAGATAGCTGTTTCGTACTAGTATCAGACTACTCAGAAATTCATTTCAGTGAACTAACTGTAAATTGCTATGTATGAAGAGATTACAAGTTCACCGAATCTGAGAACCAAACGAAGACTCCGTAACACAATGACACGTAAGCTAGCTATTCTGACGCGTCTCAGCCCGTTAACTAGAGAAACAAGTCCAAGTTAGGAAGAGGGAAATATATTCCACAAGCAACTACGACAAGTCTAGTCGGAAATACACTCATTTATATAATGGTTCATACACCCATTTTTTGATGAAATCACATATATAATAAATCATATACTGAGTATAGTTCATGTCAATTAAATACAAGAATATCGTATACTATGCAGAATAGAAAGATCATACGGGATAACAAAACCGAATACTACACTGAATAATCATCATATTGAATGAAAACGGAATTAATGTTGAACTAAAAAATTATAATCAATAAATCAATCTAATTTCGACTTTTCATCCCGTCAAATCAAGAATCTAGCTCAAGACATTCAGGTATTTCTGAGGTCACCTAACCTTGATATAAATGAATTGGTATCCAGTTACTAGTATTTCTAAATTCATTCAATTTTCAATATTACAAAACTCTTATCCGTTGCCAGCGATAGTATTTAACTGATGCTTGATATATTTAAATATAGTGGTAACGAATTTTCCCTAAAACTCCTGAAATCAACCATCTAAGTTAGATACTAATAAGCACACGATAAGTTCTTGTCTAAAGTCAGCTTAAAATTTAAAGATATAAAGTTCAATAGGCCTTACAGTACGCTATACTAAAGAACTACAACTTTATACTTTTACACTACATTTCTGGTATAAGCAGTTAGAAACTGGTATAGTCGAATCAAAGTTTCTTCATTGAAGATAATTCAAAGATGCATAGTAAACAGTCTCGTTAGTGTATTTTATACCCATCAATGTTGTTCGTATGCAATACTTAACATACATAATATGTATCCATGACATCAAATTCACAAGAGTTATTCTTTATAAATGTATAAGAATATTTATTCTATTTATTAATCTATTATTTTATTGAATAATTCAATCAAAATGGTGGGCAACATTTTCATTCATTGAAGTATGAATAACCTACAAAATTGATGTAATATGATTATCCATAATATTTGATATTAATTTAATTCAGTTCATAGTAATATACTATGATATTCATAGAACATAACATGAATTATACGTTTTAATTGTAGTTTAGTGTAAAATTCAGCTTATATTTAAAATATTTTCAGTTATTTATCATTTACATAGACTAATTATCAAACATTAGTATAAATGAATTGATTGAACTAATAAGCGGTCAATATGTTTTTAGATAAATAAAATTTACATCTGCAATCAGTTTTATCTTCTTCTGTGTATTATGTAAATTCTAGTCTCTTCTTTTTGAAATGTCAGTTAACCGCACATGTATATATACCATCAATCTTTAAAAAGTGTCATAAATACATACTGTTTAAGAGTAATTAATGAATAAAAGAACGAAAAATCTGTTCAGTGCTCCTTGTTCCTCTTTTTAATTATTGTCCGAATGGGATTGTTCTGCCATAAATACTACCATTACAGTTTATTTCGCTATTTATTGTTGCTATGACATCAATTCATTTGTACACTACCCTTTGGGATTTGAACCCTCAATAACTATTGACCTATATAAACAGCTAATTTTGAACATAAATACTTTTTAAAACCTTTTCACAGAATGGAATGAAAATTCACTATGTAGGAAAATACTTTTGCTTACCTTTTAAAATATTTGTTGAAATGTTTACCGTCTCAATATGATGTTGTTGCTCAGAAGGAGAAGAGGAAGAGGCCTAGAATAGTTAATTTTTGTCAGGAAAAAAAACACAAATGTGAAGTCAGTATAATGTAGAATATGAATTATAGAAGAAATTTTAAACGATCTAAAAAATTAACATTTTTGTAGATTTATATACTACTAATTCACATCATTATCGTTATAAGTGGTCTAAGGATATGTTCAGAACCGGTCACAATAGCACAGATGCACTCATTGTTTGGCTATTTTTCTGGATCTTAAGTTATCAAGTTATCTTACTCTCTTTCTCCGCAAATTCACTCTTCTTTTTGAATCATTCTTCTTCTTCTACTACTATTATTACTACTGACCTTGTGACTGCCTCTATTATTCTCAATTGTCTCGATAATTTTATCTCATTGTGTCAATATTCTGTGGCGACTTAGACCAGTGAATGTATGTGCCTTGCGCTTCATTGTTTATGATTAATTAGTTAACAGCAAAGTTAGTAGTTTAGAATTGTAATTCAGAAACCAACACTTAAAAGTTATCAGTTTCAATTCATTTAGTCGACTATATAAAAATGTCATTTATGAGTCCAAATATGAGTTTGTATAATATATTAAGCGTTTTACTTTTTCCTACAAAGATTGATGATACTAACCAGTCATTCAGAATTGAATACTTTAAATAAAAAAACTTAATGCTACAAATAATAATCAGTAACATTAAAAAATAACACATTTGAAGAATGTGCATACTTCCAAATTACAATGATTTATTGAAGAAGAAGAAGAAAAAAAAGAAAACGGCTACAGCAAATCAGAAACATTGTGTTTAATGAATTAGAGAATTTCTTAACTATTCAGTAAACTTGAATAAATAATTTTAAACGAATTTTCATTTAGAATTAGTACAGTGATTTATTGATATTATTTTGTGAATTAAAATAACATGTCACTAATTAAACATCAATTACATCAGAATAATAATAATAATCATCATCTGCAAATTTTGCATAGATGGTTGAAACCATAATGAACAAAGAAATATTGGTTATATTATTTAACTTATGTATTTACGGTAAGTAAACTACATCGTATCGGAGGTATATGTAATAAAATTAGGTGAGAGAGTTTAGGAATGAATCATATAAATGATCTGTGTTGTTGTAGTTGACTAAGAAAATACGAACTGATAAAACAACTCGAGACAATTGATATAACTTCAAACCCTACTACTAGTACTGCTATTAATATTATCCTAAAAAAGACTACTACTCCTTCTACTGCTACTACTATCACCACTACTAACAATACTAGTACCATTACTACTGATACTAACACTAATACTACCAATGCTACGACCAGTAATACGGCTGTTAATATTAATATAGCTAGTACTACCAATAAATTATCACTACAGCTATTACCACTACTACTAATACTGCTGTCGCTACCACTACCACTACTACTACTACTACCGCTACTACTGCTACTACCACCACCAGTACTACTACTACTACTACCACTACTACTAGGCAGAATCTGTATTAATTTGATTTAGAGAATCAAGAAAAAATAACAAATAGAGGTTAGTTGGTACAAAATAATGATTAGTGGAAAAAAAATCGTAAGAACGCAAGAAAACAAAAATGTTCATAAGTTATTATACAAATTTCTGATCTGTTGTGATTGACAATTAATCATGTTGATCACAAATTTTACACGTTACTTACTGCAACTAAGAATCCACTCATATTTACTGTAAAAGTATTATCTATTAAATAAATGTGCACAAGTTGGGTTATCGCGTGATGAGTAAACAACACTATTTAGCTAATAGGATCTAAGTAAAAATGGGTTAATAAATATGAGGTTTAGTGCACGATTCAATTATGTATCATTTACTAATTAATGATTTTATACAGCAGAATAAAAACATTTATATAACTGAGGTAAAAGGTTTACTGAATACTAGACCGATTTAAATACATTTATCAATGATCTTTAATAATTAATTTAAGAAGACTCTAGTTTCAATCTGAATTGAAATTGTTGGCAAGTAATGCTGAAAAGTTCTATAATAGAACAAGACAATTATGTAATTATTTTTTCAATAATTTTTTAGCTAATTAACAACTTAGTGTTATAAACTAACTTTGAATAAACATTATTTATATTTTAATATGAGCATCTGTTAGGTATATTATCAGTTTACTAAATTCTTTTTACATATTCAATTATTATTGAAAGAAATCTATTTTGTTAAGTAATTTAATTGAATAAATTTTTAGAAGAAATTCTATTTAATTGTGTAAATACAAAGTAGATTCAGTCGTATGTTTATTGAAGTTACAACAATTATTTTTAGGTAAACACATATTTGAATAAAGCACATGTTATCAGATCTTTAGAAGGAACCTCAATGGGAAATTCTATAATTTTTGTAATGATCGATTTAGTGAGGCTTATTTATTTAAACACATAAATATTGGTACAATGAGGCATCAAATACATATGCACCACATAAATCATTCGATTTATGTAAGAGCTGGAATAATGCCCGGGTGGTTTTCTCCAGTGGCCCGCCTTTGACCTAAAGGTCTGATCCACAAGGCAGTGGAGAAACGTAATGAGATACGGTCCCATGGTAGCCATTTGTTCATTCAGGATCCTGGAGCCCATGTACACAATTGGTTTGGAATGAGAGTTTTCCAACTCCCCTAGGTGGATCCTCCATATCCATCAACCCGCTTAAAGCGCCGGACATTCGCTTTTCGTCCTCTCAATTTCGTAAACAACAGTGATGCCGCGAGAAGGCAGTGATTAGGACTTGTGTGGCAGTGGTTGTATGCACGTGACCATGTGAGAGCATTTGGAGAAGGAGAGTTGACTCTCCCAACCCTCGGCGGTACCAGGGCATTTGGGGGCTAATAACATCGTTCAGCCTTTACTCAAACATACACAATCTCCTGGTAAGTTCTTAGGGTCTTTTTTGTGAATATAAACAGTGCCATGAATTTACACCCAATTACATAGTCTCAAACGGAATGAAATCTACGCCCGGAATTCCATTGTTATCCACATATCAAACATATTAAACTGTAATTCAATTGAAAATTAACAAAATTAATCATCTGTCAAATTATTAAAATAAACATGAAAAACAAGCAAACAAAAATACACGTTGTTTACATTAGATAAATTTGATTTATTTCTTGATGTATACAAATGGGTATCATGTACAGTTGTACATCTTCCTGAAGATGGTGAATCACATTCACCTGATGAATTGAATAAATTAACACTTCCATTTAATTCACAATCTGCTGATGTTTGTCTACCATCAATAAAATTATTTCTTGTGTACTGATACCATTGAAGTGGTGTTGGTGATCGTGTACGTGAATTATTGTAAATATGTTGATGATAACTACTACCATACTGTGGTGGAAGTAGATTTATTCTGCCTGAATCTTGTATGCTACCGTTGAAAATATCAGCTGGTGGAGATTTCATACTATATCGATTTTGTGCTAACCAACGTTTACTAGCATTTGGATTGACGATGGTACTACTACTAGTAGCAGTACCAATATTAGTAGTTGTAGTAACAGGTTGCATAACTCTTGAATAGCATAATTCATTAAGACTAGCAGATTTAAATTGATCAGCATTTAAGTAGGCGTGATTTTCACTAGGCGATGAAATTATTTGTTCGTATGGTATATAAGCATCATATCTGTATGGTTTATCATTAATTAAACGTGATGTCGGTGGGGTCGACTGAGTACCAGTCAGTGATTGATGAGTAAAATTCAAATTATACTCAGGCTGATTAGATGTAGTGATAAATGAACAACTATTATTAAATGTAACTAAAAATAAAAAGATGTAAGGAAAAATGTAAAACATTAATTTTCTTTTTAAATAAAAGACTATAATATAATGTAACTGTTATGTAAATAAATACTACAGTTCTCTATCCAATAAATATACAAACATAGCAACTAAAGTTCTTGTTTCAAAATCAGAAGTAACTCTCAGTCAATTCAGTAAATAAGATTGGTTCAGCAAAGAGTTCTTTCTTCGGAAAATTTATTTCAAAGCTGTACAATTTCAAATGCGTGCTTATCTTTCAAAATGATAATAACGGCAATAGTAGTGATATTAAAATTTCGCTAAACTTGGCAATATGACGTGAATTATTTTCTACAGACAGTTAATGATTGCCGCTCGACAACAAATTTTTCACCAGAAGTTGAAAACAAACAAACTATTCACTTTTTTTACGTCGAAACGATAAAAAATGATGGAGCACTAACGAAGAAATTCTTGTTAAATGACCAACTGTCAAGCTTTTACAGTTAGGACCTCATTAATCGGAAGTGATATTTACTTATATTTGTCACTACATAAATACGAAAAATTTGTATTCTCGAGGTCATAAATAACAAACTGAACCTCCTTAAAAAATATTTATAAAAAATGGGTGTCCATTGGTATTTATTGACAAGAGCATAAAACTTTAACCTTCTTAAGCACAAATAACCTCCGTACCAAAGAAAGCTCTTTATATGAATATTGATTTAAGAAGTGATATAACTATGGATATCCTGAAGGGAAGTTCTGACAACATTTTCTAACAAGACCATAATCTCTAGGAATTTCCTCTTCTTTTTTTCTTATCTCACAGCCATCTGCCTTCCTTCTATCTTCTTCAATATAGACCTTTTTACTCCTGACTGATATTTTTCTGTTTCAGTGATCCTCCTGATTACAGTTCATCTCAATGTCAAAATTTTATTTTATCACATTGAGCCTTCACTTTTCAAATTATAACATCTTTTCTATCGTTATGATGAATATTTAGGCTATCGACAATCGTACTATTATTAATTCTCTAAATAAAAAATGACGTTTTTATGCTTTGATTTGTTTCACCGCACTGTTACCATTTTTAGCAGAAGTTTAACATAATGATTATCGTCATTAATATCATTTTTGAAAATAATAATATACTTATTAGCGATTGTACATCTGTGAAAATGAATGTCCCGGAAAACCAACCCCTTTTATTTTATGTCTCAATGGATATATTTTGTTTAATTTAAGAACCGTTAATACAGAGTATACGTTAAAGTAAATAGATTTTTTTCCAAGTTGTTTTTGTGTTTCAATGAGCATTCTAAACGGCTAGAAGTAACATAATACGCCAGTACAAAAGTCAACACATTATGTTTATGAGAACATCATATCATGTGTTGCTCGGTCGCTGATATACAATCTAAATGATTAGTTAACTTGGGAAAAAATATTTAATTATTCAGATATAACGAAATAGTTTAGATTGAGATAATTGAACAAACTGAAAATATTTCTAATAAAACAAAAGTGATATACAGAAAGGTTTGTACAATGTTTGTATGGCCTTAGTTTGCTTATTTATTGAACATTCTATATGAGTTTCATTTTATTTGGAACTTTCCAATAACAAAAAAAAATTTTTTTCTCGAGAATAAATGTGAAATACTTCAAGTTTCAGTTTTACAAAAATGATCAATAATAACAGCATACAATGAGGCCAAAATCATCTTATCTATTCTAGATTAAACTTAAATAAAATGATCTAACTCGAAACAGTGATATTTATAACATTATCGTGACATCAAGGAATCTCATAATAAACTCTTGATAAAAAGAAGTTAGGCTTGCAGTTTATTATAGTATTGAATTCATCCAGAAAATAGAATTGAGTCAAAATGATTGTAGAAAAAGGTGCTCATATGTATTTATAATAGTTAAATCAAGTAAATAATACAATATCGAAACGTACGTTTTATCTCATAGTTTTATAAATAAACAGTTTATATCCCTTCACTTGTCAATGATCAAGAATAAAATTAGATGAGGGTGAGAAAACGTTATATAGTTTCTGAATATTCAATTTTCTGGTTCATTAAAAATTGAATCATTGGAATAATACAAAAAATACATTATGGATTAGACAAACAAAAATCATCAGTTACTAATGAATGATCCGTCAATTGTAAATATTTTAATTCAACAAAAAGCCGGCTGGGGGTTTGAATAGCTCGACCATAACATCTCTAGCTATAATGGTGAGTGATACAGATTTCAATATATCGGGAAGCACCGCTTCCACCAACTTTATATTATACTCCTTAATGATGAGTTTTAGTTATTATTAGATCTAAACCCAACGTTGTGGATAAAATAGGTATAAAGTGAAATTTTTCTGTAATGGTTGAAGTTGAGTTAACCAGTTTCTGCCAAGCATTACACTTATAATGGTGTGACATACTACTTATGTCGTCAGAGATAAGTAATATACACTACAGAGTTATGGAATGGAGTTTGATTACTAATTGGCGTTCATGCAGAAGACGATGAAGAGAAAAGCCTGTCTATCCGATATAACACTTTTTAAAGCTATGTCACTTGTGGAGAAATCCTGGTATTTCATTTCTGTCCGACGTTTGTGCTGTTGATAATTTTGTCTAAATTGACAATGAAAACTTCACGATTAAACTATTCATTTCGAAGAACTCGATTTCAATATAATTATTCTCTTCAGGTAGATCTTCCCCGCCATCTCATGAATCTTCACTCTAGTCTCAATACTGTTCAGTTAGTAGTTTCCTAACCTTTTTAGTTGCAAAACACTAGTAAGAGTTGTATAACTTAATCATAGAAAAAGCAAGAGACTAAAGAAAAGTGTTTTTTTTATTTATCTTATTACAAAGTAACAATAGAAAGAACAGAATGTAACCATTTAAGTCGAATTTCATCAATGATTTTTTAAAAATAAAAAGTCAAAACAATGAATAAATGAATAAAATGAAGGGAAGCAAATCTTTAGAAACAAAAGACAAATATCTGCTTTGGCATTTTAGTGCTTACTGTACATTCATACATACTTACATACACATGTACAGTTATATGTCTGTACATAGTGTGTGAAACCAAAATGATAAAAAACACAATATATCGAATTTATAAACTCCTGGTGATTACTGATTTAAACTATCTAATCTAATCTTCTACCTGCTTGTCGTAATAGCACAACATAATGGTTATGAATGCATACCCAAGAATAACACAAGTAGCCCATATACAATAATAATAGTGTGACAATGACAATAATAATGATTTCAAAAGTTAGCCAACCATTGTTCAAGTGTGGGTCATTTCTCTGTGTATGTGTACAGTTTGACAAGAGATATATGAGACAATAGGGAAGTAAATCGAACAATAATTACACTGAACAACAAAAGTAACCAATGGTGTTATTGAAGAAGAATAAAGACAATTCAGTGGTGAAGAAATTTTTTTTGACAATATCATATACTCAAACTGTACAATGGTATTTATAGTTAATTTACAAATCTAATAGTCTTTCTAAAAATAGGAGGACAATTGCATCATATCATGTGTCAAAAAAGGTTCTTGAAAGTTAAAAATCGAAGAGAGATAACAAATTGAAACGAAACCTGAGAAGAATAATTATCCACTTGACAAGTGTGAAAAGGTTGAAGAATTAATTCAACAAGTGCAGATGATGATAACTAGTCATTTCAGTGCTTTCAGATTTTCAATGGCGGTCTAGCTTAGATCGAATGGTGAACTCAACTGCAAGAATACTACATTCTCCACAAATCTCTACACTGATAATTTAAATTAAAATAAGAAGATTAAAACCTCTAGACGGATGTCATAAAATCAAATTACTGTTGATGAAAATTAAGCGTCAGGACGATGAAAGAATTTTGGCTTGTATGTATCTCTTTTGAACATAGAGTTCAGAATTGAAATAATGGATTGCGAACACCTCTACAATGCATTAGTTATTAATGTGTGCTCCATTTGAACCGAATTATCTGACTCTATAGGTGATTTTATCATGTGAGACAAGATGTTTTGATAATGATCTGCTAAATAATTTACATTCACATTTCGAAAGCCACGCAGGATAAGGTTCAGAGTCGCGTTTGAAAAGTGCTCACTTTGTGAGACCAATGTAACCTGCTCCACAAGAGCAAGTGAGCTTATAAATAAGTATCGATTGTTCTAAAAATGAGAGTTTTCTTTGACACATCCACGAACAATGAGACGGCTAGAAAAAACGATGCGAACCTTGCAGGGATAAAAAGATTTCCTAGAGGATTTTGTTAGATGATTCTTCAAAATTTCTGCAGCAGTATCTCCCTTGAACTCAATGTTCATGTGAAGGGGTTTCTTAGAAACCTCATGATATCTTCCAGATTATAATCTAGCTTTCATGTTTCTCCCAATAAACCTGAATGGATAGCCTTTTTAAGGAATATCTGTCGGAGGTTGGATAGTTCCTCGTTAATCGTGCATTTCGAGAACGTTCGCCTAGCTCTCATTGGAATTGCATTGACATCAGAAATTAAATTGACAAAGTGGAAATAGTCTAGTGTTCAGTATTTGTTGATCTGATTTCAAATTGGTTGTAGAATTTTCGCTAGATATTTAGCGGTTGTATTGTAAGATGAATTATTCATGCGTAATATGAGCCTTAAGTACTCTCAAGTGCTTCTGGAAGGCTGCATAGTTTTGGAACGACAGAACTAGATGGTTTGAGATAACTCAGAAACTCAACACTGATAACTGATTCATCTTTTATCATCTTAAGGATTCTTGTAAACTTCTATTCAATTTGTCCAAGGGTATATTTTTGAGGTGTTTCTTTAAAAAAATCTTGTCGGTATCTGATAATATGGATAATAATTTTGTAATATAATCATGACGATTCATGACACACAATAGTGGCACCTATATCCGGGAGCACTATTTATTTATTATTGTTTGTGTATTTATTTGTAAATTCATTATAAATGAATCTGAATTGTTTTCATTCTTTTTTGATTTTATTTAACATCCATGCGTATATATATATATATTTATATATATATATATTCACTATACTTACAATAACTAACAAAAATTAATTGATTCGATCTTCCTCCTTCTTCATATTTCATGGTTCGTGCCGTAGAAGATATACTTGATTAGTAGGCTATTGTTTATTCGAAAACAGATTTGTCTATGATTGTTCAGTTAAGTGACTAGTTTTATATTCATTCATATAGATTGTAGGATAAACGACCAAGCATACAACAGTATATTTACCTACTGAATGTTTTTATTATGGAGCGATGGTTTACTAGTCGGGTTACTTCACTTTTAGCCATTAAATTACAAGATTTTAATGCTCGAATTATTTCAATAACCTTAGGTGTTGCTCACAGTTGAGTATATACACTTGAATTGGTAAATAGGTTACTTAAACTGTCAACGAAGTTGGTTAGGTAGATAGATAAACAGAAAAAGCTTATTATGCTATTGTTCAACAATAATAGCTTGATGACCGATACATAAGAACTACTAAATTATTTTGACAGGATCAATGTGATATTTTCACTGCATAAATTTAAAACATTTCATGACAAAGAGTATCTATATATGTCTGTAGTTACTAACCTGGAGTAATAGAACGCCGGAAGAAAGTTGGATAATTCAACTAAAATCAAGATAAACAGAAACCAAATTAAATTCAGTTGAAAATAATAATCAACTTACATAAATCGATTGACTAGTATTAATCAAAATAGAAACAGCAATAAATTCTTCCAGGTTTTCAATGGTCGTATAGATAACGTTAGCTTGTGATTTAAACCATGAATATTCTACAGTCTTCACAAACTCATCTATATTAATAATAATCGTGTGCTTAATGGCGACTAGCTTCAAAATGCAACTTCTGGAATTTTGGTCAGAAGCCATGACCGATCGAGTTCAACCATGTTGAGTATGAAACAGTGATCCAACGCAGGATGTAACCGTTGTGATGTTTTACTAGTCCTTAGTGATGACTACATTGATGGCGAAACTCTGGAAGATGTGGAATCCTTCACATACCTGGGAAGCATCATCGATGAACAAGGAGGTTCAGATGCAGACGTAAAGGTGAGGATTGGCAAAGCAAGGACAGCATTCCTTCAATTAAAGAACATATGGAACTCAAAACAACTTTCAACCAATATCAAAATCAGAATTTTCAATATCAATGTCAACACATTTCTACTGTACAAGTCTGAAACCTCGAGAACTACAACAACTACCATCAAAAAGGTACAAGTATTTATAAATAGCTGTCTACGCAAGATACTCAACATCCATTGGCCGGATACCATCAGCAACAGCCTTTTGTGGGAGAGAACCAACCAGCTTCCAGCTGAAGAGAAAATTAGGAAAAGACGATGGAAATGGATATGACATACATTGAGGAAATCATCAAACTGCATCACAAGGCAAGCCCTAACATGGAATCCTGAAGGAAGGCCGAAGAACACAATACGTCGGGAAATAGAATCAGATATGAAAAGGATGAATAACAACTTGAAAATATTGCCCAGGACAGGGTTGGGTGGCGAGTGCTGATGGGCGACGTATGCTCCTACACAAGGAGTAACAGGCGTAAGTAAGTTAGTAATATATTAGAATAAGTTTGATATTTATACCTATCTAATTTATTGTATATTACCGAATAAGAAAAAAATGTCATCGATTAACAGTTAGTTGTAAAAAACAAAAAAGGCAAACTAAACAACTAATATCATGTTTGTGTCTATTCTGTCGTTTCTTTTATTTTTCTAAAATCAAAAGACATACCCTATTTGATTCTCTTGATGATTCATCTGTAAACAAGATAGAAAGAAATAAGAGACAAAAGGATATAAATCTTAGTGTTCAATACTAAAAAGAAAAAAAAATTAGTTAAGAATTTCATTTGTAAAATACCAAACAATTAAATTCATTTTCCACTAATATGAAATGTAAATAGTGTATGAACTATATACAGTAAACAAATTAATGTATTGATACAAATGTGTTGTGTATAATTCAATAATGATGATAATACATTTTGTAGGTCATCAATAACCAATGCCATTTGAAGTGCCATTTATAAGTGAAGAATTATTTACTCCTAGTTTAGTTATTTCAAAGTGTTGCACACACTTTCAGTTGATGGAACAATCGTCGGTTCGACTTGTGACATTATTGTAAGTGTAATTTGATAATAAATATTGAAACAAGACGTAGGACTAATCCACTTGATATTGTTTTACTTGAATCTTCCCATTGACGTTTAGGACTGCAATTGATCAATCTCTTATTGGCATACATGCATACTGTGCGCATTGCCTCGATATTGCCTTAATTTACAAGTATTATAAGCGAATATTGATAGTGGCTAGCAGTGGGGTCCAGAATGAGAGTTTCGTCCCATTTGGGACTCGTCAGCTGGATGGGCCTGCATCCCAGAGTTAATGTTCACTCTGGGACTCAAACCTAGTATCGTTCACTTCAAACGCCATCGCATTATCTACTCAGCAACTGAGTCCTGATAGGCACTTGCTTGTGCAATGGGATGAAGTTTAATTCACTTGGTATTGTTTTGCCTGAATCTTCCCACTGCTAGCCACTATCCATCTTTGCTTATAAGACGTATGACTGTTTAATGTTACCTAGTTTTAAATTATATCAGTTCTTAATACGATAGTAGACTTCAAATTGTACAATATCATAGCATAAGTACCTGTAGTAATGATGAAAAATTTAATAGAGTCCTTCATCAGAAAAGATTCAGTTCAGCAAAAGACCATTTGTAACCAAAATAGCTCAATGTATTTTTAAATTCCACCAAAGATAAAAATCTCCTGATGATTACAGGTAAACCTTTCTGACTGTCAATCAACAGTCAGTACGATAGGTTTCCAAACAGACTGTTTTTAACAGATAACCAACTATTTCAACTACATTCTGAGAACGATTGAAATCTTCACGGATCCGAGTTAATAAATTTCAGTCACATTAAAATGTGGGTATATATTGCCTGTTACAAACTTCGTTGTTTTTCGGCTTTAGACATAGAGGTTATTTTATTTATTCATTTGAACACAAATATTGGTACAAGGGGGCACCAAATATATACGCCCTGGTATGGCCGAGAGTGGGGTGGGTTCGCCCCCCTCTCGAAATACTCTCAAACGACCACGCGTATACAGCCTCTTCCAGGGAAGTCCTACTCACTGCCTTCTCACACAACGGGTGTTGTTAACGAAAAGGAGAGAACGAAAAGCGAATGTCCGGCGCTTTGACAGGATCCCAAATCAATGGTGCACATGGGCTCCAGTATCCTGCGGAAACAAATGGCGTATGGACCAATTTCTTGGTCACCGGCTTCCATGGGACTGCATCTCCTCACGATGCTCTACTACCTTGTGGGTTAGACTTTTAGGTCAAAGGCTCGAGGCGTGGCCCCCTAAGAAAACCACCTGCTTTAGTCTGGGCACCCGTGCAATATCTCAACCCACACACAAAAACATGATGAACTGTCTACCTATGGAAAATATTCTTTTCGCTCCGATTAACATAGAGTTTAAAGTACAATTGACTGAATTCAATTTGATGAATCTTCCAGTTTTAAATTTCTGTGGATTAATTACTTTCGTTTAAATATTCTTTTAGTTTTTTTACTTTCACTATACACTGTGCTACTAACAATCAATCAATTTTTCTTTAATACACATCTTTATTTACAAAATATGATACAACAAAACTAGTTGACGGGGAATAAAATGATTTAAACAAAAATTGATTGAAAGAATCGTCAATTTTATCAACCTGTATTAAGAGAAGAAGAAGAGAGAGGAGAGAAACTTGAAATTCTACGAAATTCTTTTATATATAAAATGATCAAACTCTGAAGTGTCTTTTGACAAGTTGAAAATCACGATGTATATACACTATTATTGCTTGATAAAAAAATGAGCAGTTTAGCTTTAATTTATCAATTAATTAAAACAGTAAGGTATATTCACTTGGTATTGTTTTGCTTGTATGCACATATGCCAATAACAGACTGATAAATTGCAGTCTTAAAAAAACTCAATGGGAAGATACGAGCAAAACAATACCAAGTGAATTAAACTTCACCCCATTGCACAAGCAAGTGCCTATCAGGACTCAGTTGCTGAGTAGATAATGCGATGGCGTTTGAAGTGAACGATACTAGGTTTGAGTCCCAGAGTGAACATTAACTCTGGGATGCAGGCCCATCCAGCTGACGAGTCCCAAATAGGACGAAACGCGCGTCCTGGATTCCATCGCTAGCCACTATCTATCTTTGCTTATAAAAGTAAGGTATACTATTTAGTTGACTGTACAGCATTGTAATCATATTATTTAACACAAACATATTGCGTAGAAGAAAAAAAGATCGTAATTTAACTGATAGAATCAAATTTAGACTTTTTTAAACTATATGGTAATAAATTTGTATTGCAAAAAATGTTTTGAAAATTTGTTGGGTTTAGTACCTCACAACTGTCGGTATTTAGAACTTCATTAAATCAGTTTTTGTAGTTATATGTGTACTAGGAGAGGGTATCTCGATATTGATTGTATACACAACATTTTGGTATGTTTTTGTATTATCCCTAGCAGTGGAAATCAAGGTGTTTATTTCCTCCTACCTCGAACACGACAGATTAGTGTTTCAAGATACCATATCCATAAAAATGCTGGTGAGTAACTGGGATCACTTGAGCTAGTGACCATGTTGCAACATTTTATGTAGGATTAGGTCAGCACTAAGGGCTAGATAAATATGTCATTGGTCACTGTAAAACCGAGAGATGTAGATTCAAACGCCCCAGAGAGGCATCATTTCTTTGAAGACTGAAGATGTGAGTTGCTGACAAATGCTAACTAGCACGAAGCTTATTTTCAGAATTTCCTACCGACTACCTCCGGTAACCTATTATTAAACAACATATGGTAAAATATCCGACCTAAGTAATAACAAAATATGGAGATATCTTGACTTTGTTGATACTACAAAACTAATTAAAATTCAATCTTAAAGCTACTTCAACTCTAACACTGACTAATTAAAATCAAAGTTTCTTCGCACGGTCTCGTAATCTCATGAATTTACTGGTTTAATAAAGAATCTAAATTGTAACAACAGTAACTGTAATGTGAATTATATAGATTTTATTAATTAAAATCAGTACATTAGTGACCGTGTAACAATATGTTTTAGTCAAACATGTATATAACAATGAATATAAATAATTCGATGAAAGAAAATCCCACCCATAAAATGGTTACTTAGATTTTATATAAAATAACTTTTTTTTTAAGTGAACAAGAAATTCTTAAAGAATTGAAATTAACTTGTTATACAAGTAAATAGATGGTAGAAAATGCATAAACATTGTACATTTAAAAGCTTTAATTAATTTTATTTTAAGCAACATGATAAATTTCTGTAGTTGTCTAGTGTGCAATTAATTTTTACTATCAAACTTATGATGTATACTACTTATGTCAACAAATATAAGTAAATGCTGGGCGAACATAGGATTTAGATAGCCCGGTTGGTCAACATTACTATGGAGGTCAGCGCGCCGAAGGACTCGACATTTCGACAGATAGCGTGGCACAGACTGTAGTAAAAAGGGAAAGTGGCACGGCGAGTAAAACTACCGCAAAAATGACTTTAAATGGGGGACAAATAAGGTGTATGCTACTTATGCCTGTCGACATAAGTATGTAACACCCATCAGAAGTGGAGTGCCTGGCAGCAGAAGGTTGGAAAGATCGAACCTAAGAGAACATGGACGAAGAGTAATTGGAATAACAACACGAATGAAGGGACGATGAAGACTTGCAAATGAAATATTTAATATACAGATCACATATTTCACGAAGATATTTTGTAATTTAGTATTAAACAATAAATCGAAATTTTTCACCTATGTTCATTCCCAACAAATTTATTCGAAAACAATATATATCTAGTGCATTACATCATAATTAAATATCCAATGAAAACTAGAAGGCACCAGACAGGTATTTTTTTCTAATATATGACTCCTTGATAGTATTCATCTACCAGATTCTCGCTAAGGGATCTAAATATTAAAAGTTCTTTGACAGACCTGAGGAGGACCAGCCTAAGGCGAAACAGTTGTTCAGTGCTTCATTGTTTACAGTTATTGTTTCAGTCCGATTATGAAGACTGAAAGGTGGGAACAAAATCAAGATAACTAATAATCAACTGTGTTCATGAAAACATTAAACGCATGTGATCTCTGTGTATTCCTTACTCGTAGGCTTCAAGAACAATGGAACTCATAAATATCCCGAACAAATGTTAATCTTCTTTATGCGTTCATGTTAATTCGATAAATACACACCTGACAAATGAACTGTTTACTGACTAATTCGATGCAAATTATAGTCAGATTAATAACAATTCAAAGCTTGATCTATAACTTATTTAGTAAACCGAACTATGAGTGTTTGAATTTCAAATATAGGATAAGTTCCTTAAAGACTGCGGATTTCAGGTTTTTTGATGAAGCATTATATTTTGCCAAACACTAATTTATTGTCTATATGACGAGCTGAATTTAAGAGAATAATCTTTGTGTGCATAGTTTGATTAGAACACGAAATGACTTTGCAGGTGAAGAGACTGATTTCTGGGAACCTCTACGAGTGTTTTGAACGAAGGAAGTGGAAATTGGATGGCGTACGGTCAACAATCGTTTTTATTGACCCTGAAAAATTTTTAGACGGTTATCGAGTTATGTTGCTAGTTGATTGAAGTTTAAATTGCATCATTAGATACTAATTCACTATTTCTAATGATTAGGTGCTCGCTAAAAGAACCGAAGGTCCTAGGTTCGATTTTCGTAATCGTTGCTGTATACTGTTATGGAGTCATAATAATCGCTTCAAGTAAATAATTATATATTCAACTACACTTTTCTACACAACATGAATCGAAAAATATATAACGTGTCGGTACAACAAATGAATTAACTTCTTGTTCTGAATCATAAAACATATATACCAGCAATTTTTCTTTAATGTTTACTGTTAATGACTTAGGTAGTAACTTTCATGACCTGATTGAGATAAATGATGAATAGTTTAGTGAAATTGATGGACGTAATTTTATGCTTGTTTTTCGAATAATTCACGCAATAAAAATTCAGAAAACAGAAAGAGAACTAGATAATGGAATAAATGATTTAGGTTTTCAGCTTATGCGAATATGTTTAGTGGTGTTCTATTCTTTAAGCACAATGGTTTAATTGTAAATCTTTCGTTGCTGTTTAGGAAAAAATCAACAGTTAATTAGTAATTGGACATAAACAAACATTATGATGACATGACATATCATCGATTATTTCAATGAATGCAGCCATCCACAGAATTGAAATTCATTTGGAAGACTTTAAAATTCTGGTTCGAACAACTTGGAAAAAAATACATGGCATTCAGATCAATAGCGAATCAACAAGGATATCTGTCTATACTATATTTACAGGAAAAAGATCAACCGCTTATTTAACTAGAGCTCAACTAAAAGCAGTCTACAGAAATAAGATAACATATAGAGCTGAAAAAGATTCTAAAGATAGCCATTTACAGAAAAGGTCATAAGTATAGGCTTAGCATTTAGCGGTTATGGAATAATGACATTTATGGACTATACGTGAGGTCAGTACTGACAATATTTCCCAGAATGTTAACAAAAGGTTCTTAATTGAAATAAGGAGTTCAAAGAATAGATGTGAACTAACAGCAAGTAATACAGGGGATTTTCTTCGTTCATGTTTAATTATTTAATTAAAACATGCAGAATAATGTAAAAACGAATATTTTATCTTGTTATGAGACCAATTACCTAAATTCGCCAATATATATATATATATATATATATATATATATATATATATATCAGTGTTTATATGTACACTGTCGACTTGAACCCAGAAAGTTGAGGTAGAAATGCTAACACATCACACACTAGTCTATTGAGTTACAATATGATATTTAGAAAAACGAAAAGTATATTATCATATTTTCTGGACTTGCGTATAATCCTTACATCATAATAAATATGTAGACAAAGGAAGTAGGATTTACGAAAAATTCAGACAGAATGATGATTATATGTTTGAATAAACCGTAATACATATAACACTTAAATGTGATGATCTGTCATTCGGTTTGATGTGTTACTTTATAATGGACAAGTGAAAAGATGATTGATACAACGTACATAGCAAATGTTTACTTAGTCGGTAATAATTATATGAAAATAGATACTTGACAAGTGAACGAAGTAAACTATATTTTATAAATGTTTGTATTTTGTTTTGTTGTAATTTAGTGACAAATCGAATAGGTATTTCGGTTGAGAAATTGTTTAAAGATCAATTCAGTTTGTAGGTGATTATCTTCAAGGAGTGATTCTATTTATAATAAGGATGAAAATCAAAGTGCATCGGTCAGGTGTTTAGTCCCAGCTTGGAACTCATCAACAATTTATATACTCCAACGAGTTAAAAATAAAACGCATGGTTTTCTGATTTGAACATTAATCCATGATAAATACCATCAATAAAGCTTTAAAAAATGTAAATGCACAATGATAAGACTTTCAAACTTTTCAATTTCACACGTAGAACGATTATTTGATCAACTACATCAGATGTGGTCTTATTACACGAATATTGAAATTAATCACAAGTAGATGATAATGTGGTGTTTTTAAAGACTTCATTATTTAAATAAAAGTTACAATCGTGAAAGATTTATTTTCTTGTTTCAAAATAATGTTGTCACCAACTGAATTTATTCTAGTACAAAAACGGCTATAAAGAACTAAACATATGACTTTCACATTGCTTAAAAGTTTCGATATCTAATGAGCCCTAAAACTTTAAAGAAACAATTTTCAAGTAATCCGTAACGTCTTTTGATGAAAAAATTTCTTTCGGTTCGTTTGACATTTATAAATAAATGTCATTGAATAAGATGACTCTTGAAACTGTACATATAAACAAGTAAGACTATTCATTTAATTAGTACAATTGTGCATACTTAGCTAAACGCTTTATAGAGGGCTAGTGAAATTACTTGACTGTCTTAATCGAAGTATGTTTTGGGAGATTTGAACCAACAGTATAGCAGTTGAAAATAGAGCACTTTGACTAATTAATCACATATATAAACAGTGTACTTTATGTTAGGCTATTTAGATTAGTTTAAACTAACGAATCATTAAGTTATTTATACTAATAAATACCCATTTGAACAATAAAAGTAAATGATTTTTTAGCTCAGGTGAATGATTTTGCTGGAGTTTTGTTTTACTGAGCTAGATGGTTCAATCGTGGAGCATTCATCGTTATTCTGAACGACGTCATCAGAACAAACGTCAGGTAGAAGTCTGTAGAACTTTGTGCTGATGTCATTCAGAATAACGATGAGTGCTCCACGATTGAACCAACTCAGAGAACAAAACTCCACCAATAAAGGTAAGTCCTTCATTGGTAAAAATAAATATGCCTAATTATTGATAATTATTATTGAAAAGAGTTGCTGTTTCTCAAGGGATACGTCATTGTTCAACTCAAACAATAATGTGCACTTTAAAATTCGTGAAAATATATGAACTTGTCAAGTTAGTCTCAGATGTTTGTTGGGAGTTGTGTGCTTCATTCTTTGCATCATGAACTAACTTCAGTTATGAAACAACTGAAAACTTGAAAGTACTGGATAGTTGTTTCATTTTAGTATCAAACTCTGCATAAGTGTGCATCCATGACTCCATTCTCGGTCCGAAACCAGGACCTTCAGGTCACTTGATGAACTCTTAAAATTTAGACTACTTGGTGGGTATTTATTGGTTTACATTTCTAATTACCATCAGTTCGCGATATTGTACAAGCAACTTTCAATATTATTGATGAATAAATGCTCCACATACGACCTAGTTGAACTTCACTGGTCATGGTTTCACACTAGAACTCAGGAAATTACCTATCATAAGAAGCCGTTATTTAGTGAATGTTCATTATTAGTGTAAAGCATCTATGAAGACTGTTCAATTTTATAGTTTACATTATAAATTGACCTCAAATGACCATTGAAAACCTAGAAAACACTGAACAACTGTTTCGTGCCATAAAGTCGTACGTAAAATAAAAATATTCAATAAAATGGCGAGAAACCATGAACAATGGGCGATAAATAGAAAGAGCAGGTAAAATATACAATAGGTTTGAGATTTTATACTTTGAAATAGAAACACTGAAAGAAAGACAATCATTCATGTTGGTAATGACAATGTAAATGAAACTCACTTAATGTACTTATATTGTTTGATAATGTAGCTGATCGATTAGATGCAGTCGGACGTATTGGTACACATTGTCTGTTATATTTTAAACTTTGTAAATCTTCATATGAATTTCTCAGATTAAATAAACTTGGACGTTGTGATAATTCTTTCTTTTATGTGGAACATAATTAGGTGAAAAAAAGGCAGAAATAAAAATATATTCTGGTTTGAAAAAGAATTCAATTTATGCATTAAAACTTGAGAAAATAAGAAACAAACAAGATAATTTTAAGCACAGTTGGATAGTAGATAGCAGTCGAATCCAAGACACGCGTTTCTTCCTTGTCTGAGGTTCCTTGACTAGATATGTCTGCATCTTAGGGCTGATTTTCACAACGGAACTCAAAATCAGTAGTTTAAGTTTAACAATCTCTGGATTTAAATTCAACATACTGTCTTGGTTATTGACTAACTGTGCTCATTTTTTTGGTATTAAACATACAAACAGTATTTCCGGAGCCTGCACAGGAATAAAACCGTTAGACTTTTGCACCCAGGAATGGATTTCCATCAGTTTACTAAGGTTTAAAGTTGTTTGAACTCTTGTTCATTTCAATTCTGTTTCTTTTTATCATTAAATGAGATAATTAACACCGATGATTACCTAAGTAAGTGTAAGGTTCTATGTTATCTATGACTGATTGACTTACTTATGCTGTTTATAAAACAAATGTTAAGTATTAAGTAATTTACGAGGTTAAAGAAAGTTTCTTTCCTTAACAAAATACATAGATCACTTTGAATTCATTTCATCTTATAAATCGATTCCTTTGATTTCACTAAAACTGTTGTCGTTACGCAAATGTACTACTATTCTAAAACTATGAAAATAGAAATTTTGTTTGTTGAGAATAACTAAGTGATGAAAATTCACTTTATCTTAAGAAATAACAGTTTTCATAGATAGAAATAATAATAAGATGAACAATTAGGAGTAACAAAGAATAGATTTCAATAAATGTCATTATTTCAGACTGATAGTTCATAATTAGGTATCATTACCAAGGTTTGATTTGATAATTTCGAATAAATTGAGCATTGAGTGGATTGTCATAAATAAATAAATAATTTTTGTATATCCCAGTGAGTAGAAAAAATAGATTTTCTGACGTTTCGTGACTTAGTGTAAGCCACTTCTTCAGAGAATAAATGACCAAATTATAATTAATCCAAGTTTAAATAGTACAACGGAACAATTGTTCCGTCACGAAACGTCAGAAAATCTAATTTTTCCGCTCATTGGGATATTACGAATATATTATTTATTCATAAATATATATCCGGCTCGATCGAAAACTTCCAAAAACGAGCACAACTCATGTACTTTTGATTTCTTGTAGTAAGTCGAAAATATAGATTGGGAAAACCGATTGAAAACATGAGATACTGAATAGCTCTTTATATTTTCTCTTTAACTTCATGAATCGACATGACGCGTTCATGATAAACAATATTCAACCATACTGAGCATTGTTACGTTGTACTATTTAAACTTGGATTAATTTTAATTTGGTTATTTATTCTCTGAAGAAGTGACCTACACTAAGTCACGAAACGTCAGAAAATCTATATTTTCTACTCATTGGGATATCTACAAATATATTATTTATTTGTTGATAGTTCATAAAGTGGAAATTTATTTATTTTCGATTTTGATTTATGCTGCAACATGATCTAAATAATCCTATTGAATAGTTCATTCTATTTTTTTAAACCGATCTGAACAAGCATTTATCACTTGTCTTATGATAATTTTCAGCTTGTTTAAAAATGTATGTAAATAATTGAGTTTCTTTTTGTTAGATAATAATTCCTTTCTATTACATACCAGCTGTTGTCATTTGGTATTATCAAAGTTAAGAAAATAATCATATTTATTATCTCTTAGGTTTTTATACAGTGTAATCCATTCATTATCATTGTGTCAGTTTGGTCAATCATATCATAAAGTAATTTTGTTAATATATATATACAGAAATCAATAATTCTAAGATTATTGGCATTTGTTTATAGATTTAAAAGATATATTTCCAACCATGATAATGAATAGGACGATTATAACACTGACAAAGAATGAACTCTTAAAACCCTATCAAACTTCGATCGTTCCGTTGTTGTCACAACATTTCAAGCTTATTTATTGTCAGTTTTCCTATCATGTGTTTGAACGTAGTTGACAAAGAGTGCTGAAGATTTATGAGATTCGAATTTGTATCCCAGTTGGATAAGTTAAAAGTAAGTCTTTCGGGCAGCAATTGACCTCCCATAGGACCAAGGTATGTTATTTGAAACTCGTCACCAAGGTATATCTCTTAGTTTGAAGAAAATATCTTACTTCTATTAGATGTCACAGAATAGTTATCTAATAGATCAAAAGGGAATGTATTTATCATTAATGAACAAAGTAACATATCGATATAATCAAACTCGTGAGTAACATGTGAATATTAAGTAGATTTATACTGACAAAAATCATACTTAAGATGAAGTTATGTTCTCTTAGTTGGATGGTTCGATCATAAAGCTTTTCTTGTTCTCCTGAACAATATCATCAGTACAAACTTCCACCTTGAGCTAGTGCTGATGATGTTGTTCAGAATAACCGTGAAAGCTCCAAGATTGAACCGTCCAGCTAAGAGAACAAAACTCTATCTAAATCATTCATTTAAGCCACAAATCATCCCAAACATATCAGAAGTCAAAAGCTAAAGAAGAATACAGGGGATGATTTATGTTCTGTAAATGCTATCGAAGAAACATATTATGTGGTTCATTTAACTCAAAACTTAATATATAGAAGTGATTTTATTCATAAGTTCATTGTTTTCTAACTCCACCTATAGTCCTTCCAGGGTCACTGTCGGTCCCAAGCCCATGTAAAGACTGAGGGTCGAACATGGGGTGAGCAACCCCATTCCGTAGAAAAGAAACCTGTTAAGAAAACGATGATATGTTTGAAGAGATTACGATTTCATCTAATCTGAGACGGCTGTGTGACACAATGACAGAAAAGCTAGCTATTCCGACGCGTCTCAGCACAGCCAAATAGAGAGAGAAGTCCTAGTTAGGAAGAGGGAAATATGTTCCACAAGCAGCCAGAAGCACGAACCACCACAACCAGACTAGTCGGAAATAAACTCAAATTTATATATTGATTCAAACACCCTTTTCTTTTATTAATAATTACGGTGAAATCACATATATAATAAATCATATACTGAATATAGTTCATGTTAACTAAACAGAAGAATATCGTATACCATACAGAATAAAAAGATCATACAGGATAACAAAACCGAATACTACACTGGATAATCATCATATTGATTGTCTTATCTCGGTGCCGACTGACCAGAATTCTGCTTTTAGGAATTTTCTAAAATTCTTAGAATTCTGGTAATTCGAAAATTTTGACATTTCACTTGTTCAGGTTAGTCCATAGTTGACAGTCGATCAGATTTTCAGAAATATACTACTTTTCTGTAGACTTGAATCATTTGTTTAAATCATTAGACCAATGGACAGTTGTTCAGTATTACTAATTGCATTGTAGTTGGAAGTATGGATCATTAGATTTTAATTCTGTGATCTAAATGATCATATACTCACTGCAAGAGCTTAGTCATCTGGTTTCAATCTTAAGGAGGATTATAAATATAAACAGTCTTTGAGGAAACCACATACTATAATGAAACAACCATCGATTGCTTACTGATTTACTATGACTGACTAGCTAAAGTCGATTTGTAATGTCAACTGTTGACTGAATAACCTATATATACGTCAAAACGGTGGTTAGTGTTTTTTGTGTTTCTTTTCTGAATTGCGATAACTAACAAATTTGAGTTCCAAAGAAAAAAATTACATACTTTATTTATTTAAACGTATAAACATCGGTACATGGAGGTACCAAATATATATGTGCCACACCTCGTCTTTTGATTTGTGTGAGAGCTACAATAATGCCTAGGCCCCCAAACCAAAGCAGGTGGTCTTCTAAGGGGACCACTCCCTGAGCCTTTGACCTAGAGGTCTAATCCACAAGGCAGTGGAGCAACGTTAAGAGATGCAGTCCCGTGATGACCGATGGATATGCACTGAGGAGGAGTCCGATGCTAGGACAAAGCGACCGTCTAGTGCTTCCAGGTTTTCAATAGTGGTCTAACATGGACCAACCAAAACTCAACAATCTCCACAACCCTATACTGATAATTATTATTTTTCGACCGGATAATATATCATACGCAGATAAGCTTGGGTCTTTCTACCAAAACAGAAAAACGATTAGGAGAAGGGAAAATAAGAAGTGAGCCTATTTTTAATGTTTATATTTTTACAATAATCACTGAAATCAAATAAGTGGTTGTGGCTACCCAATATGTTTTCCAGAGATCTGTCTACTCATAAATATACACATGTATAACGGAGTATAATCAATGATTAAAACGCTGTATAATGAGTATCCGTTAGACAGGATGCTCACCAACCAAAAAATCATTTCTCTGAGTTTTATTTTTCAGTTACAAGATAGAACATATAGAAGATATTTGAAGTTTGCTAGTATTTCATTATAGATGTCATCCTAGAATCAATGATGTATGATGCGGAAACTGAATGAGACATTGTAAAAATGGACCCAGACTACCAGGTAAATATGATAAATGGGTTGGTAAAACTATGAATCTTCAGTTACTGATGTGGCTGACATATATTACACATGCGTATGAGCAGATTGAAATAAACTTAGGGGCAGTAAACCAAGATGCAGAATCAACCTATGAAGTAGCTGACTGTTGATTTTAGCTATCTTAGTTGATACAATTAATTAGAAATCAATTATCAGTAATGAGGGAAAAATGAATTAATTTTCAACCGTGAACATCAGTTTAGTAATTTGAGAAGTTCAGTTTAAAAGAGACAGATAATAGTTTCTAATACTTAACCAATTCATAGGTGAAGTAGCTTAAAAAGGATCATTGATGTTATGATAGTGCTAAACTTCCTGAAAATTCTACCAGAATAATTAAAAAAGGTTTTTTTAATTATCATTCTCATATTATCTAAACTATAGGTGTTGAAATGACGGTGGTACTTTGAAATTTAATTTCTTAATAATTCATAATTCAGAACGTCTGAAAGACTGAAATAAATGCCTTCAGTTTCCATAATGTAACATTATCGATCGAAATAGTAATACACTTTCTTGATTTTCTATGTTTTCCTAACTTTTCTAAATATGTGAAGATTAGATAATCATTAGAGATGCTTTTACCTCATTTGAACAGCTTTTGTGCTATTATATCTTGTGTTGGAATAGTTCATCCGTAGTATTATTACGTAACTACTGAATGTTTGTTCTTTCAATGCAATACATTACAAATTCAATTTAAAGGTGATATCACATTTATACCGTAGAATGCGGGATTATACAAGAATTACAAATTTGCTATATTTTATCAGTAAATATTCTAAACCAAAGGGATCATTAAAGAGTTCTCACATTTTTTTGAAGATAGAGTGACAATGAACAAATTTTTTTATTGAGATCATGAACTGATTGATGTTAAACCACCATTGAAAACCTGGAAGCACTGGACGGCCGTTTTGTCCTATTGTGGGACTCCTTGGAAGTGCGCATCGACGATCCCGCTTACGGGACTCGAATCCAGCTCAGTAGCCTGGAGGTTAAGCGTTCGCGCACAAGACTGATAGGTCCTGAGTTCGGATCTCGCGTTCAGTGCTTCCAGGTTTTCAATGGTGGTCTAACATCAATCGGTTCATGATCTCAATCAAAAACTTAAGCTCCACAACCCCATGCTGATAATGAACAAATTCACAAATAAATACAAAATAAAAACAAAACCAACCTCTAATTTATTAATTTTCTCTTCTAAATCTCGATTAGTCTCTTCCAGTGCATTTATACGTAAATGTTGTTTTGAAACTTCATTTAATAATTGAAGATTATCCATATCAGTTGATAGTTGACTAATATTTTTATTACGATGATCGGTTGTACAGTTTTTATTGACCAAATAAGATAACTAAGAGTGAGAAATAAATACATGTATTTACTTATAAATTTACATCTATGAAAATATATCAAGAAGTCGTCAACATTTTTACTAAGAGTATATATATATATATATATATATATATATATATATATATATATATATATCAGTTAAGATGTGGTGTGGCCTCTGAAATATGTGGATGGATAAAGCAAAAGTGAGCTACTTACAAACTACAAAGTTCACACAATATCGAGTCATGTAAGCTATTAATTGAATGACAAGTAAATCATTAAAATCACATTAGTACTTGAAAGATCAGATATGCATGATGTTGATCACTACTCAGAATTATACCTACCAAACGTAGTGTAATATTAATACCATATTATTGTAACTTAATTCAAACACCTTCTTAACAGTTATTAGTACATTTGTGGGAAAAAAAGTCTTAGTGAACCAATGGTAATGAACAGCAGGTATGTAGGTAAAAAATAACATATTTAACAGAAAAGGGATACCAGGAGATAGTTTTATTTATTGTCATCCAACGCATACTTCCAAGATTATTTATGTTTAAAAGACATTGTTAAATTAGTAATTCTAGACAGCGATTTACTTTATTTAGAAACTATTAAAAGTGATAGTCAGATCAGAGACATATAAATCAAACAAGTTTTTCTTTGGTTTGATTAATTGTAAAATACTTCAGTTATGAGAAAAAACTTACTGATAGGTGCAGTAAAAACATTATTATTATTATTATTATTATTATTATTATTATTATTATTATTATTATTATTATTAATGGTCCTCCACCTTCATAGACACAATTCTAAATCAATATATGGATCAACACATCAAGCTAACCAAAATGATGTACGAACTGATATAATAGACATAATATGTAAAGAGTAGTTAATACTGTTAACATAATATTTAGTATGGTGAATAGTGTTAAGGTTTAAACAGATCAGCTACTATAAAATTAATTTAGTATATGACCTGCGGAATAAACTTGAATGCAGTAAATGAGTTGCTTTGCTTATATCTATTAAGCGTTGAGTTGTTTACTAAAAAACCAGGTCACCAACCTGTAGAAGGTACTGGGTTCCCGAACATAACTAATAATTTGATGCAGTGATTGAACTTGCCTGCGGTTTGGAACCAGTCAGGGTATATTGGGTGAAATACTTTTTTTCTTTCGATCCTACCAGGAAAGGTTGGTCAGTTAGGTTATGGTAGTATTAAAGACAACGACTTAGGGTCCGAGAACAAAATCATATACCTAATTTTACTCTAATGGCAAGGTAGTAGGATTTTTTCCTCAAACAACCGGGATCTAGACTGGTACTGCCTTACTGCGACAAAAGAAGAGGATTAGAGTAAGGTCGACTTCCAAAAAATAACGCACCTCACATTGTCTCAAGAAACCCCGCTTGTAGTAAGGCCTACAATGTATGGGGCTAACACGTCAGAAACCACATATAAAATGGTTAGTTGACCAACCCAAATTACTTATCCCGAAGGTTCTGCATTCATGCTCTTAGGTAATCAGGACTAATACTTGGCCAGTATTTTTCAGGTTCATCAAGTAAACATATGCTACCTCACTATGCCCGATTTGTCAGTATATGAATATTAAAATAATGATGAACAAATAGAAAAATACTTCATAATTTTTGCAGGATTTTCAGCCTAATCTGAAGATAAAATTAATCAATAAAAGTCATTGTTTTTCACTATAGGGTTATGGAGATTGCTAAACTTCCTTGAAATAATGAACCGATCTAGTTTATACCACCATTGAAATCCCGGAAACATTGGATGGCCGCTTCCTTCTAGAGTGCCTCCAGGGTTTCAATGGTGGTCTAATTTAGATTGATTCATGATTTCAATGAAATTCCATAATTTCCACGACCACTTGGTGACTAGCTTAAAGAGGAAATTTCCGGAGTTCTAAAGAGAAACCAGACCAGTGGAGCTAATCCGTGTCAGGTGTGAGGCACTTACCCACCGAAGACAATGGTAGATGGTCGGGCAATGTCGTAGATCGACTGAGGTTGGTTACCAACCCATTAGTTTCGAGGTTAAGAGTTCTCACACGAGACGGAAGGTTCTGGGTTCAGGTCTCGCAAAAGGAATGCAGATGAGAACTCCAGAGGAGTCCCATACTAGAATGAGACGAGGGCCCAGTTCTTCAAAGTCCTCATTCATAGTCGAAGTTAGATTGATTTGTTATTTCAATGAGAAATCGACGTTATTGAGGTTTCTACTCAAGTAGAACTAGTACGACAGCAAATGAAACACAAAAATAGTCAGTCATAAACAACGTAAAAGCTGGAATATATGTACATCGGTTAAAATTGCCACATTATATAAGCACAGTGAAATGTCAGAGTATTAGTAGTATTGTCAGTGCTAGTAGACAGTATTTGCATGAGTGATGTGAGTCCAATAGAAAGAATGAATTATTAGGATATGAAAATAGGAAATAGTTTTAACACTTAAGATTTAAAGGAAAACAAAAAGTAAACGGATTAGAGTTATTCTGACCGATTCTGTGATATGTCCCAGAATGTCTTCAATTTTCGGTTACAGAAATAGTAAGGACTCCAACCAGGTTGTCTGCACTTATTAGTATGATTTAGTTCAACAGTCAGTGTCAATGACTTCATGAATTGATGTATGTCTTGGTTTGACCATCCTTAGCTTTCCACTAACCTACTTCTATACCACCATACATCAACTGTCAAGGTAGGAGGTAGTTGAATTCCAGCCACCTCAGTCAGTGAAAATTAATTACTTCATCAACTGAATCTAAAATCAGAATTGCTCAAGTAATGGTTTCAACATACTCCAGTAATGTTTTGAAGATAATTAAAATTAAATGCTAGTAACCTACAAACATTATTTATTTTTAAAAGCAACGCTTCACAGCTATATACTAAGCATTAGACATTGATCGAAAATATGAAACCAGATAACATATGTTCCTACCTAGCATGTGGAATTCTTAGAACTGAGCATCCAACACTCTGCCAGAGACATAACCCATGACATTCAAATCTCGTGCCAAACGTTTAACCTTTAAAGTCACCGAGTAGATATCAAATATTTAACAACAAATAAATTGAATTATTCGACGGACTAATATTTAAGTGAATTAATTTACGATATTTAGCATAGCTTTCATCCTTTTTCATCGAAATATAATGCTAAAACACTAGGTCAAGCACATTATATTGTCTCATAAACTTAAACTTTATTTATCCATACAATTACATAAACTCAATGTAGTTTAGTTATCTAAAAATAACCTTGACACAAAAACAGATCAATAAAAGAAGAACACCTGAAATGAGTGTGCATAAATCAATGCACCTTACCAACTAAATAAACTTCGACATTATCAATCATTATTCTTATAATAATGACTATTGATCAACTGTAATATTGCACAATTTTATTGCGTATTTATCACGTGTCTTTATGTCTGTGTATGTGTGTGTGTGTGTGTAATTAGCTGTGCTATAGTGGTTATAGAAATATACATCTATATACATTTAACAAAACAATCATCTTGTAGTAAATGTATTGTGTAAGTATGCACTTAAGTCCCTCTGTCATATCACATCTACACTTAGAAATTAGTCAGGAAAGACGAATATTTAGAAAAATATGTAAATCAATTATAAGATTAAATATATAAAATGACTTTTATGTTAAGTGTAGTATTATTATATTAATGATAATTTTATAGTAATACTATTGACGTTATTCAGTATTAATAATAATAATAATAATAATAATAATAATAATAATAAGGCAGAAAATAAAGTATACGTGTTTATATTTGTGTGAAAACGATGAGTACATACTAAGTACAAAGTAAATTCTGTCGAGTAATTGATAAATACGTAGGTGGAAGTATGCAATATTAATTAATCATTTATATATCCAATTGTTATTAAGATTTGGAGTATAATGATTTAGTGATATTTTTGTAAAATTTATATTTTAAATTTGTTCCTTAATATAGTCGCGAATATGAATTGACATTGAGGAATTTCACATCAAGATGAAATAGCTAACCAGTGCAATCTAATTTTCAACGGTTGTTTAACTAAAGTCAATCCATGATAGAGAGTTAAAATACTAACCAATCTCTAGTGTTCTCTCTAGCTAATAATAATAATAATAATAGATTTTTGTCCAAATATTTGTACAATAACTATAAAAAAGATATTTCAGAGAAGAGAATCTTCTTTTTGACGACATCATATAGTAATGCCATATAATTGTATTTACCGTTAAATTTCTATAATAAAAACAGAGAATTCTTGAGTCAATAACAGAAATTAATAGAAATGAAATGTGAAAGATAATCCACTTAACGATTATGAAGAATGATGAAAATATGAATGAACACATGTCAAAACAATTCACAAAATGGTATAAAGAACTGAGATGTGAGAAATAATTGACAGTGGGAAAATGAAGAAGGGAAAATAAACATATGTAAAGAAATAACTGACAAAATGTGAAGAGATGTTAAGATTATGATAAACTAAGAGATTGAATACATTGCTTCTGAATGCGGAAATCGGGTTTGAAATGACGAATCCACAAAGTCTTCACTATGCATAAGTGTTTTATTTATCATTCCTTCGAATCAGTTCGTCTAATATCGTGAAAAAATGTAAATTAATATTCTTGTATGAATATATGACCAAAAATGTCCAGATGTTCGACAATCGAGTTAACAGCGATTTTCATTTACGTTTTGATAATGATGCTGGATAGGCCTTGGATATGCGTTTGGAAAGAGCAACTTTCGTGCGATTGCTATTGCAAGTAAGCTGGTAGATACACAATGGCGTAGACCGAATCGGCAGTACATTTTTGACAAATCCTTGTATCAGGCATCTACTGTAAAATACAGTTTGTAGTTTAGCTGAATAAAAGGTCTTCGACAACAATCTGGATAGTCCATTTCTCAAGGTCTCTACGACTGTATTTCCGTCGAACTAACTTATCCTCTTGCCACGTTTGAAGTGATTACGATTCAACTTAACCGATGAACGAAATGGAAGTCAGCAACACGACAACAGGACAAGCTAAACGATTCAATGTGCCCCAGACCTGCTAACTAGAGAGAGAAGACCAGATTGAGCCGAGGGGAAAGTATATTTCACAAACAGTTGGAAGCACGAAAAAACAGGCCATAACTTAAGCGTATATATACAGTATAAAAGTGTCCTTGGGAAACGTCACAAAATAGCGTATTAAAAGAGGAAGCAAACCAATAATATTTAGGGTCCTTCCAAGTGGGAAATATAATCTAGTGATAAAAGCAGGCGCTTTTGGTGCGAAAATGATAAATTAAGATTTTCAAAACAAAATTCCAAAAATGAGAGGTTTACCGAATGATTTATGGGGATCTAATATCCCCGAAACCTCTCTTCTTCATCGTCTAGTATTCTTCAAGTGGTCAATCACAGTTCTTGATACCATTTTGTAAATTGTTTTGACATGTGTTCATTCATATTCTCATCTTTCTTTCTAATCGTTAATTGGATAATCTTTCACATCCGGTTCCGATATTTTATCCCATTTTTATTACCGCTGGTCTATTACAAAACTTTAAATTTTGATTGACTTTAAGTACTTCTATTGATGACTCAATAATTCCATGTAAAAATTTGACGATAAATACAATTGTACAGCACTACTAAATGATATCATCAAAAACATAATTTTCTTCTCTGAAACGTCTTTCATTTATACAATAGTTTACAATTATGTCTGAACAAATAAATAAGTCATTTAATTCTTCATTTATTCAAATTATAATCTATGTATAGTAGTAGTAATAGCAATAATGATATTCGATTAAATCATCAAGATAATAAAAGAAATTACCAAGATTAAAATGGAATTAAATTGACTAATTTATTCAGAAAATCTGTGTAGTGATTAAACATAGAAAGAAATTGATGTTTTTTTTTTGTTGGAAAGATTAAATTTTGGACCAAATTTTTAGAGAGAAAATATATGACACATATGTAAACAATAAATAATCATCGTGACTGTTCACTAACTACACAAAACATCTACATAAACATACCGGTTAATTAATGATTTCATCAAAATTTTGTTTAAGTAAATCAATTCAAAATATTAACTGAGAGAATACTGTCAATATGAAAACAGTTTCTCTCTATTTTTCTCTAAAAACGCTGAAGAAAAGAACAAAGTTTTTTTTTAAAAGAAACATATTTTTACCACATATTTCTAGAGAGAGATTATTGGATAAAATTTGGTTTCGTTAATTCTGTAATTAATATTTCAAGATCAACTGCATCATAAGCTGAAAGTTTGATTACTTAAAAACGGAGCGCTTGTATATTCTACATAATTGGACGAAGTTAATAGAAAATCCTATATAACTTGGGTTTCAACCTAGTTGGAACTTGTCAGTAAGGTGTACAAGATATTTTCAAGGAAATAATAGTCCCCGATGAGTTTGAACTCGAGTAAACCTGTTCTAAAGTCTGAGATGTTACGACTGAGTTAATCGGGTGGCAATTGAGATATTTACAACTGATTAATCACGGAGCACTGACTAGTGTCGTGCCAATCTGGCTCTTTAAGCACTGATCCATTTTGATTGGTTATTTTATAAGATTACAGGTAGGAATTACTGGCGAGTCCAAAATGTCATAAACCTCTAGGTCCGAGGTTTCCTGTCGACTATCTACAGACACTGAACATATAAACACAGTTCACGCAACGCCGAGTCAGACAGACTGGTGACTATATTACAACTTGATTAATAAAATTTGACCAGCACTTACAGGACCAAATAATCACGATATCGATCGTTATTCAGCGACCAACCAATGTATGCAGTTGAAAGAAGTACATCATACATACATAGATTTAAATTTACACTATGTCTAGTCGGTATTTTTTCTTCAAATAAGTCCACTTCTGTGTGATAGATGTAGAGTAAAATAAATTTTTAAAAAAATTCATACATTTGTGTCTATCGAAACACGTAAATAATGAAAAACATATAAACTTTTCTCTAGAGTTTATAACAGCGTGATAGAACTTTTATGACATATCTTGATTGTAAATTTTCACTCGTGACTTCGTTAACAATTACGACGTTTTCTGAATGTCAGTCATTCACATGTAATGTACAACCTGAGACATGTGTACATCGGTTCAAGTCACCATGCCCCATTATTAAAGAGATATGAAATGGTCAAGGAAAGTCATAAAATGGTAGGGGTAGTAACAGTATTAGTGGTAGTAGAAAAGATTAGGCATCAAAGATACGATTCGGGAAGAGAATATTCATTGGTGAAATTAAAAGAATTCATAGGATAATCTGAGGACAAGGAGTGAATGTATCTGCTAATGATTTCTAGCCATGTCACTCAAAGTATGTGAATATTGGTTACGATAATCCGCGGACCTCAATCAGCCTAGATAATACGTTGTTACAACCTTTTCTTATCGTTAAAAAAATCATAATGAAAACATCAATGGTAAATAAAACAACACAGGGCTTACTGGATTTCCATCTTTTTCCAATTCTGCAATACGATTAGCTTGTGTTTGTATTTGTCCTCGTAATTTAGTGATTCGTTGATGAAAGCGTTTATCATTGAGGTATGTGCTAAATTCATTTGGGGGAAACACGTATTGAGACGGCATTTGTTGAGATTGTTCACTTACATTCAAGTTGAATTTAGTACGCTGTGTGGTTGCAGGCTAAAATGAGTTTGAAAAAAGTTGTGATAATAATAATAATGATTATTATTATTATTACAACATGGGTGAAGTATGATTTGATAAATTTAAGTTTGAGATGCGCTTAAGTTTACGCATTATTCGAAAACAATAACACTATGCAACAGTGTGGGAATAGAGAATTTACAGTTTAGATTAAATGTTGTAAGAGGTGGTAGAGTACGAATCTCAAGTCACAAGAAAGCAACACGATAACTGTACAAATATGCACTCTGGTCCTATTCTCCATAAAACATCAACAGATAATGATGAAGAATATCATAGTACAAGTAATAATAGTTCCAGTGATAGTAAGAAAAAGCATCAAACTGAATGAACTTGTACAGTAAACATCGTACAGTAATTTTAGAACTTAATGTCTAAGGGAACACAATGATTGGATGAATCTATAATGCCAAGATCGATTATGAGACATATCAACCAACATCTCAAACCATTAGTCACGATATTTATTTAAACCTCAACAAGTTAGCTTACATCTATCAATATGACTCAGTCTGATGATCAATTATAATGAGTGTGAAACAAATGTTACTAATAATGACAGAGGAGTCAGATATTAGAAGGAAACAACTATTCAGAGCGTCTTAGTTTTTATCGATTATCAAGTTACAGTTGATCCATGATATAAAACTGTGTTCGTGATATATACAAAAATCTATGTTATGTCAGATAAATTAATCGTGATATGTTTTATATCATATTTAATGAAGACTAGAGATTATATTTTTAACTTGAACTGGCAAAGCGTGATTGTTATTGCTCACCGTTTTCTTGACTAAATTAGTTAATAAAATGAACCACAACAATACTTCGAAATCGGATTATAATTTAACATTAAAAGACTTTGTAAAATTACTCATTAAGACGTTTTACAATATTTTACGAAAACACTACTGTATTATGAAGTCATATACATACTAAGTCTTTTTCATTTTATTTCAGAATAAACATAACTTCATTTGGATCGTAAAGCTGAGTCTTTGGTAGCAAAACTAAAACCTAACAAACCTCGCTAACCAAACGAAATGGCCAGTGATCTATGTAAGGATACCTTGAATTACATTCGAAATTCTTTCTGTAGTATGAATATATATATATATATATATATATATATATATATATATATATATATATAAAGTAGTGCGATCAAAGTATTATAATTTATTTATAACGGTGCAACAAATTATTAGGGGTAGTTCTGATAAGAAACAAAGGTTGCACATTTCCGAGCTTTTACTTATCACATTATTTGTCTGAACACGGCAATCGATTCACTGATTTTTAGTAATAATTCACTTTAAAGAAGAATTATTACATATCATAAAAAATAAAGGAAATCTATTTTGCTTTTCTAACTGGTTAGAATATGGTGTTTTGTGAGGATAGTTGATATCAGGGACTGACTTCAGCTAAACAATCACTGAAGATGTGAAAACACTAGACTTCTGTCCAAGACTCTTCTAGTTAGAATCTACAAACAGATGAGTTCAGGTGTGTAACGGAGGAAGCAGATATTTTCGATATCACTACATGATTGTGTACAATATTTCGAACTAACCAACTTTTTAAATATGGACCAGTTAATTTCAACTCAGTGGTTTGTAGGTAACGTACTCTCTATGAAACATGAAGATACTTGATTCAGTTCATGGGTTAAGAAGAACAGGAGCTGATTAGTTTCAAACCAGAAAGGCAAAGAAGTTTTTCAATATCCCTTGGTTTTCAATAGTTATCTAAGTGGAGCCAACTCTTAAGAACGCTAAGTAGTTTCGTTTACCACCTATTAGTTAACTCTGTAATCGTGGAAAAGTCAAGACATTTCGTCCATATATTCTATATATAACTCAATGAAATAAAGCAGCGAGAAAAGTGAAATAATGTACATGGATTCACTGTATTATTTTGTAAAGATCATCAGAAAAGGAATTCATAAAACGCTCTGAGGAATAGGGTATCTTAGATCCGACTATACGATATCAAGTTTTAACATGATATTCAAATGTCTATAAATACAACTGTGTACACCATTCTGTCCACTGAAATTGAGTGAGTCTAAACAAACTCGGTAGTTCATTTATACTTTTTTTCTAACACCTTATGGCTAATGGACAACGATTTAATAACCAAACCCAACATTCTAGCTTAAAAGCCAAGGATCAAACAATCTATTCGGCTACAGCTATAAGCTTATCTAGATCTGTGAAGTCGATTGAGCCAAACATTTGAATAAAAACCCGAACAAGACCTCAAATTTTAGTCAGTGGTTAACTTTACAGTAACCTAAATTCGTATTCACAAAACATGAACACCCTACCTTCTTTTTTATATTCATATCACTTTTCGTGTTCGACTTTCGTGTAAAGACGTCCATAAATGTCCAACTGAGCAAAAAACTCTGGGTGGGAGAGGAATCTACAGGTAACACTGGTCATAAAACCTTCATGAATTTTTTTGAAAGGAAATTGTTACAAGGGACTTGAATTTTCAATATCCAGGACTACAGTTTATAATGGTGAATTTCTTCATAATAGTTTTAATCCGATAGAAGCCTCCATTAATTCATTGAGCTTACCGTCAAAAATCAGCTTGACGCAAGTTCTTCAAATAAGTCGAGGAGTCATATATAATTCATATATTTTCAAACGTAACAGCAAAAGCATGGCTGTGAGTTCATAATATGATGCTTTTATGTTTTTTAATATCTTGTATATACAAGCGTATATTGCAGAACACAAAATCATTTCATAATGAATTTTTAAAATCTCGTTTGTTCAGTTTAAAAACCCTCTCATTTTTCTACATAGTAACAAATAACCATACATTTTACAGAGATTATGTCGAAATTTAATTTGACCTTAAAGTTAAGCTCATCAATAAGTACTAAGTCAGAATCCTTAACTCGTAGCTTTTATAAAAATGCGGGCTTATTCTAGCCAAAAGGTTGACAGGCCTATTTAGATGAATTTTCAGTCGACGACATTAAGCCTGACGGATATTCGAAAATGATGTAAAAATACTTGTTATCTACGCACATGTAAAATTAGTATATCAAAGTTGATTGGTGAATGCTCAGATGTTCTGAGATACAGAGTAGATGAAAAATCAAAATTATACAATAGCAGCTCAAATGCAACATTTTCATGTTTATAAATTAGGGTTTTTCGCATAAATTAAGTATACTAATTCGGTTATAGGCATGTGCAACTATTTACTATGTCTTCATCTCGTTTGAGGTGATAAGATCAATATATATAAAGGTCAACTTTCACATTAGGCAGTCATATAACATGTTTCACATCTTCACTATGAGCCGCAATAATTGTTATCATATTTTCACCCCTATAATATTCAACTTTGACTTTTTCATCAAATTTCGATTAACAACAAGAGTCGGCATTTTCATCTTATTTTACCCCTGTATGGAATACTGAACCATATAGGCTTATTCTTTTACAATGGTACTCCACAGTTTGTGTATTGATTTTGATCCCCAATATGAAAAAGTGAAATGTTGAGAATAACAAAATATAGATCACACATAGTTCTGTTAGTCAGTGGGACTCATCATTGACATATAATCTTCAGTACTACTAAGAAATCTTTACATGAAACTCATATTATAAACACAGACTGGTTATCGCAGTTAACTTAATGAGTTTTAAGGAATTAATAAATCTACTGATAAATCTGTTTTGTAGACATTACATTCAACATCCTATGATACAACTAGTTCTAAAAGAAATGGCATATGGGAATCCTATCGATTTTAGACGTCCATCTAAAAAATGAATGATAAACTAAGATAATGGTTATATATTTAGACAAATAGCTCACATTAAATACAGCTCTAGAGAAAGCAAAGTATTTAAAACAAAAATTATGAAGTCTTCTATGTACATTTGCAAGTTGGCAAAACAAGAATTAAATTTGTGCCAACGATCAAAAGTGAGACGCCTACAATCAGCCCTAGATCCCCACAATTTTTCTGAATTATCGGAACAGGGTTTTGAAGATTGTTGAGTTTTAATTGAGATCAGGCACCGAACAATGTTAGACCGCCGTCCAGTGCTACCAGGTTTTCACTGATGGTCTAAAGTTGGTCGGTTCATCATCTTAATTAAAATTTTATGGACATCATGTTGTGTAGATTTTCGAATCTTTTCCCCAAATTTGTCACATATCTTATTACAACTGTCTGAGGAGTTTGTATTTATACATCCCAATCTCCCAATTTTGGGGAAATGGCACTAAAACCCCAAAATTTCCCCAAAGTTGGGAGCTTGGAATACTACGGTCAAATCTATTCACATGAACACGAACATAATATGTACCGAAAATATTAGTTGATTTCGTTTGCGAATATTTTCATATTTGTCTTGAACCCAAGATGAAATTATGAAAACTGGAATCTTAAGACAGTAACGAATCTGACTATATGTTATCCGTATGAATTAATTTCAGACATAGTTCTTCCAGTGTTTAAAAAATCTACAGGCCAGCTTCATTTACGCATAATTAAAACCACAGGAATCTATCCTTTTACGAATGAAAATTGAGTGAATAGACTAAAATTCATAACCAAATAGTAGAAACATACATGTGCAATATTAAATGAACTGTTCTCAGTGACTCCAAAATTTAGAGCTTGATATTCTGATGTGTGGATTGAAGGTGCAGGTTTTGATTGATTTAGTTTATTGATGCAAATTTGAAGTCTATTAATTAGAACGGAAAAGTCTTTCCCGGCCCTGTAAAGATATGCCTCATCAAATAGGTTTCCGCTGTCGTTCAGATTTTCAACATGAGACTTTCCTTCGGCATCCTGAATTGAGATTTTCGGTAATGTGTCTCGATTGTCATTACTGACCTCAGCGTCATAATCATCTGTTTCATATTTATTCACTATATGAATGAATAAAGAAAGTTCTTGGGATTTTTACCTTTCAGAATTTCATCAACATCTTTAAGAGCTGACGCCAAAATCCGGCTAGCCTCTAGATTACTCATTTAAATCACATATCTAGTAATTATTGACTGAAACTGTCTAGACATGCTTGTAGGTTGGTACAATCAAATTTACGCGATTTTGGTTTTTCGTGGTATTTAGTACAGAACAACAAACATTTAAAAACACAGATATATTATTTACTTTCAATAAAATGAGGGAAGAAACAAAATTTTACAACTTTTAAATTGCTTACTTGGTCAAATTTCACTTTCAGAGCAATTCGTATGGTTAATATCTCTGTTACAAGCCAGCGTGATTCATTTACGCTCATGTTATGGAGCTAGCATACGGTACTCGGTCTTTGATATCGTAAGATATGGGTAACCTAAACACTCAAATTCACCAACACTGGGGCGTATGAGATTTACTTGAAAGCTAGTCCGCTATGAATATAAATAAATGCATCTGCTGTATCAAATCGAGGTTGGTAGAAGCATGTGCTATTACAAGTAAGTTTTTTGGTTTAAATATATGTTTTAGAGATAGAATAAAGAGAAGTGTGGTAGTTATGCTGTCCCAAACACCTGTGTCACAAGTTTATACAAACAGATTGATTTCTTTGAGCTCGCATATTGCTGTTTCGGTACGGTTTATGGTGATATACATATTCAATGATTTTTGCAATAACAAAATGAAGACTAATTTCTTCCTCTATTTGCGATACTTTGCATGTGATGGCATTGATATTCAGTATCTGTTGTGCCTTACTCAGATACAGATGCTTCGGTTTGTAATGTCGACCTTTTCTGGCATATCATTAGTAAGATCATAAGTCAGTTGAAGCTAGACCATCATGGAAAACCTGGGAGCACTGGACGGCCGTTTCGTCCTATTGTGGGACTCCTCAGCAGTGCGCATCCGCGAACTCGCCCCCTGCGAGATTCGAACCCAGGACCTACTGGCTTCGCGCGCGAGCACTTAACCACTAGACCACTGAGCCGACTGGCGTCTAACGGTGTTAATGTCTAACTTCAACTAATCCACGAAATTGAGCGACACATCCACCATTGTCTTCAGTGAGTTATTATCCCACAACAGACCTGGTTGAACTTCACTCGTCACTGCTTCTCACTAGAACTCCAGGATATACCTATTGAAGCCAGTCACTAGTGAGCATACGTTGATTATTATCAGAAGGGGTTTTGTGGAGATTGTAGTAATTTCAATCATTAGGATCATGAGTGAGTTTTCCATGGTGGTCTAGCTTCAACTGACTCATGATCTTAATGATTGAAATTACTACAATCTCCACAAAACCCCTTCTGATAATATCATTAGTAACTGAGCATATAGTTATATCTTGAATGAGCTCCTTTGTTGGGATCAAATACAGGTTCCAGGTATTTGATTATGTCCAATAAGTGATAATCCAACCACTGGACTTCACTCACTTCAGTCGTTTTGGTAATGATTTGTGGATTTGCATATTTTGTGGTTTGAGTGCGTTCGTCTCAGGATAGTATGAATTCTGCATACCAACATCTATCACATTACCAGACATAGAGTATGTTGGTCGCAGTAGGAAAATAATAAAATTATAATTCGAGTGTTAAGATAAGACGGTTCCTACAAGAAAGACAGTTTATTATTCGGTTATTTCTAAGAATTGCGCGTTTTTCGAACGGGAAGTTTAGTCCTAACGTGGTTTGCATTTCCCAAACTTTTGCTGTGTTCTTATGCAACAAAAGTACCATTTCTGATGTAAAGAATCTATTCTGAGCTATAAACTCGGTAGATTACTTTTTTCGAGTTCCAACCTATTTAATGGTCAACTGTGGTTTTACCTCAGCTTACTATCCAGTTTTTTTTAGTTTTTCACATAAAGCCTAGTTCAGTTTACCTCATCCGTTTTATCCATCTTTGCTCGTTTTTAGTGTGCTTCTTAGTGAAATTTTTTACGGTTTGATCTTTCGCAAGCATCTATAATACAGTTTACGTCAATGTAGTCATGAAAAATTCATGCAAACGACCTGGATGCTGTTTTGCTGTTGCATCTAGCATGAAGTGCGACAACAGCAGAGGTTGGTTCCATGAAGCGTGCATAGATCTCACAGCAACTGCTTAGAACAGACTCAGCAAGTTGGATCATAAGTGGGTATGTGTTACGTGCAGCAAGGATGCTTTAGTTTTGCTGAGTAACATCATTGTCCTATTAACAGGCCCGCGGAACAATTTGTCAGCAAACTTGGAAAAAGACAGCCATAAAACAGGTAGACGAAAGCAAGAATATGGATGTCGACAGGTCTACCATCGATGGAGCATGCATCAGCACTAATGATAACCTGTTAAAACTCAGCACCATCATTACGTCGACAGCGATAGACTCCCTCAGTAAACTCGGGTCTTCCAGCTCAGGTCCTTGAATGCAACAGTGGTTCCCACGTTAACAGAGCTAAAAAGGACCAGGCGTCACCGTCTAAGCTGAACATTCCAAGTGTTGTACGGAAATCAACTGGTGGTTTGATCACACAGTCTACCCTCAAGAATGTCCTTCCGGTCATCAAAGAGCCGAGCATTCAGAAACCTGCTTCGACCTCCAAACAACAAGGTGCTTAACCTGAATGCACCGGAAAACCTGGGAAAACAATAACAGTCCATGATGACTCTCTCATAATCATGAACCTCAAAGACAACTGGAATCCACATGCACCCGGACAGGCCACACGATGCCAGGATCAAGCACAAAGGCAAGTTGGAGCTGACCATTCCACTTGTGGACTGTCCTGATGACAAAAAGACGTGTAAAGGACAGGGCCTACCGATTCGGCAAACCTTATATAGGTAGGCTACCTGTCCACTCACGTAAGGCTCATACAGACAAACAGGAAGATGCTCACGCCTTCGAAAATTGAAAGCATTAACTGCTTATACATGAACACTGTGAGTCTACCAAACAAAATGGATGAACTACGTGAACTTAGCAATGCTAATAAGGTTCATCTGATAGGAATGTCAGAAATTTGGATATCTTCTTAGTTTTCGTACCAGGAGCTAGCAATATCTGGGATGTCTTTGTTTCGCAACAACAGAAAAACAGGAATTGGGGGTGGAGTAACCGTATACATACGATCTTGCTTGGAGGTACACCAAGTTCACAATCATGAGTTTAACAATCTTGAGGAATCCATATGGTGCAGAGCAGTCAGTTCCTCAAACGGTCCCCAAAAGCCACAAGCAACCTACAATCATCAAGAACCGCACTCTTCGTTTGTTACGCCGTAAAAGGCACTGTTAGGCAGAATACAAACAAACTGACATCAACGGCGCATACAGGCAATACAAACATATAAGGAACATATGCACGAAGGCTATTAGAGAAGACGGGCTTCAGTACCAGATAAAGCTTATGGATAAATTTGCCTCCAATCTGAAAAGCTTATTCCGCTATGCAGCCTCTCTTCGTCAGGCGAAAACGAGAGTTTCCCAACTGCTACGTTCTAACGGCCCGACCGATAACGACGGCGACGCCGCTAACTTTTTGGCCGAGCAATACTCCCGGACATTTCAACCGACTCACACCAACTTTACATATGACAGCTTCATCTGCAACTGAACAGGACTTTCCGTAGTGAATCTGAGCGCTGACTTGGTGTCCCGGAAACTGCAGCACCTAAGAAAAGACATTTCTCCTGGCTTAGATATGGTTCATCCAGCTATACTGAGGGAAGCAGCTTCAATCGTGACAACACCGTTTAGCATGATGTTCTCACACTCGCTAAGTCGAGGCAAACTACCGAAAAATTGGAAACTGGCTCATATCACATTATTCTTCAAAGGAGGTCGACGCAGCGAACCTTCAAGTCACCGATCGGTGGCTCTTCTGTCTATACCTTCAAAAATCATGGAGTCCCTGATAAACGATGATATACATGACTATTTACTGTCCTTAAATTTTTTCTCACCCCAATAGCATGGTTTCAGGAGGGGTGACTCTTGTATAACCAACCTACTGACTGCGATGAACAGATTGACAAGCATCCTCGATCGTAAAGAGAAGGGTTGATAAAAATTTACCTTGATTTCCCAAAAGCTCGTGATGGGTTTAATCACACATGTCTTACCAATAAGCTGAAACGATTGTTTATCAGACCACCTCTAATTGATTGGCTCATTTCATATCTGCAAAATCGACATTTTAACACCAGAGTCAACTTCAATTAATCTCAGGCTATGGAACGTCCTAGTGGGGTCCCCCAGGGCCCAGTATTAAGACCTCTTCTCTTCTTGATTTATATAAATGATCTTCCTCAACAGGTATCGTCAGAATTATTGCTTTTTGCTGACGACGTGAAACTTTGGAGAGAGATACGCAAGCAAGACGATATACAGGCACTTCAGGAGGGTCTGATTGGACTTCAAAGTTGGGCAGACGATAACGGACTTACCTTTCACACTTCAAAGTGTGAAGTAGTCCATCTGCGACATGTCGCAGACTACAGTTACAACTTAGGAAACTCCTCTCTAATAGTATCCTGAGTCGAAAAAGATTTAGGTGTCCTGGTGCCCTACGACTTAGTCTTACGCTAACTGTGACAGAAATGCCTACCAGGCAAACCTTGCACTGGTAACAATGAAGCGCATTTTTGTCCAGTTTGACGGAAGAACTTACCACATAATCTTCAACAGTTTCATTTGTCCCCATTTAGAGTCCGGAAACATAGTATTTCCTCCTACACTCCAAAAGGATAAGGACACTCTGGAGCGTATCCAACGGCGAGCCGCGAAATCAGTTCAAGGACCCAAAGTTAAACCTTGTGTAGAGCGCCCCCAATCACTTAACATTTACACATTAGAGTATATGATCCTTAGACCTGACCTTCTGATGGCTCACAGTATCCCTACACCAAATGCCCTGGTACGGCCGAGAGTGGGGAGAGTCCGCTTTTCCTCTCGAAATGCTCTCACATGGACACGCGTATATAGCCTCTGCCAGGGAAGTCCTACTCACTGCCTTCTCACGGCGAGGGTGTTGTTTACGAAAATGAGAGGACGAAAAGCGAATGTTCGGCGCTTTAACCGGATCCCAAACCAATGGTGCACATGGGCTGGCTCCAGTATCCTGAAGGAACAAA